CATGTTTCCGACAGCGAGGGAAGTACAGTCTAAACTCTTTAGACCATTTTTTTTTTCATTACGGCCAAATCATTCATCGTGAACATCACATTCAACTTTGCTTTTCTTTTTCAACTGTTAATTTCAACTTCAAACTCTAGTATTTCATAAACCAAATGTGCTTTTTCAGTTTATAAATAGATTTTTATTTCATCCCTACGATTTCCATTTTTACTTCTTGGCATAAGCTCAATAGGGTCCATCCGTCTAAAGGTTACGTTCACGTGTTTTCTCGATGCTGCACGACCTTTTGAATATGCAAGAAGATCTCCGTTTCCGTCTGTCTGTCTGTTGTCTATAGCCTATATCAATTATTTTTCTTTTTAGGGTATTTTTCACTGTATAATTTGCGAGGGCAGTTTTTTAAACAGTTTATTATCAGACGTTTTTTTAATTTTGTTGAAAATTTTGGAACGCGGTTTTCACCACTGTTTTCAGTTACAAAACTTTAAAAATCGTATCAGATCGATTTTCGACTTTATTAGTTGGAACTGAGATATGGTAAAAATAATCGTTTAGCAGCCTTTCCGACATCAGCTTTTTTTTTACTGTGTATCGCTTCTAACAAAAAGTCGACAATATATCTGGTACGATTCCTGGAGTTTTGTAAGCTGAAAACCGTGTTCCGAAATTGAAATATTGATTTTTAAAAAGATATTATGCAAAAATTTCACTAAAATTTTTATGTTTTTAACATAACTACCCTAGCGTTATATAAAGAAAGTTATGGACTGTTTATATTCAATTTATTTTTATTTCACAATCATAAGTCTGTTAATAATGGAGATATTACATTCTAAAAATGTACCACAAAAATTCCATACAGAAAACATAGCGACTGGCCTTAACTAAAAGCGCTTCATTAATGTTCCTACTTTATTATTTATTCGTGAATTAAAAATTAATTTTGTTGAAAACAACCAGCAGACAAACACAAAGCTAGAGTGGAAATGCTATCAGAAGAACATGTTGCGTCATCAGGGCGTCACATTGTTACGTAGGCTCGGACCAGTGGCGTCTCATTTGTGATCTGGCCTATTGAAATCGGGGCATTCTTAAAACATTTTCATTTTTTTTTAATTATTATTCTTGTTCAAAGACATGAAGGAGACGAACGCCACTGTCACTAAAACCAGTACTACTTTTTTTGAAAACAGTTTACGAAAATACAGGGAAACATTGTCAGCTAATGTCTAAGAAACTGCTTCCACTGACAATGTTTTTGCTGTAATTTCTACAGTTTTATATGTTGAAAACAGTGGTGAAAATCGCGTTCTGACATTTTGATATATAATAATTAAGATTTTGATTTTTAAAAATACGTCATCAAAAATTTCACCAAAAATTTAAAAAGAATTGTGATAAACTGCGTTGCAATACTTTATTAAGAGATAAAGAGAGGTGCGCGCTTTGTTGTGATATCAATTACATCAAATTTTAATGTACATAGTGTTTATCAAAAAATGCTAAAACCTTACAATTTTCGAATATCAATATTTCAGTTTTTTCAAAATTGAACACCTGTATATTATTACCACATTTTATTCCATTTTTTTGTTGTATGTTTTTCAATATGTCGGTGTGCCTCTTAAAAAACGACTTTTAATATAGAAAATACTTAACAAAACAGAAGAACAAACAAAAATTGGTCCAAGATGAATTCGACGAAACTTCCCTCGCTCTTGAAGTACAGTCAAAGAAATTTCGCTTCTTTGAAAAAAAAAAAAAATGTTTTCTGATAACCTTCATACAGGGTGCTGAAAAAATTGCGCACCAACTCAACGGTACATTATTAAGTTCACAAGTCTAAGTTCGATAAAAATCATTAAAGAATTCCTTACGTCAATTTGAGGTTCATTTACAGAAACAAAATATCGATTTAGACCGATAAATCAAAAAACTCTTAAAATTAGACATACTTGTCCAATTCATCCTAAACAATTTTTAAATTTTTTGTCATATTATAAAATGAAGAAAACCTCAAAAATTATTTTGAATGATGGAAGTCTAATTGATTTCATGTATCCAATACAAATGGTGAATTGAAAATAAAAGTTAAAATTTGAAGCTATATTTTCCACATTTGGGACCAAGAGTTTTTAAAATTATTTTTTCTCTTTTCTTTAAACAGTCCTCAATAACGTGTCATAAAGTTGGTACGCCATTTTTTCAGCACCCTGTATATTAAAAACCAGAAATCTAAATGACACCTCGAACTCCCTGCACCGCGGAGTCGCAAATTTCAAGGACAATATGAAATATATTCAAAGCAAATAACCACCGGAAAAGAGTGTATTATGATGAGTGTACTTGCTCAACTTCGATTGTTTATGTTGTTTATATAATATAATTATTATTATTCTTATTTGATCGTAAAAAAATGCAGACGTGGGTATTTCCACATTTTCTAGAAAATGAGAATCTTAATTTGATCAATAAAAAATTGGTGGAACGCTATAAGTATAATCCGACAAATCCAGCTAAAAATTAGAAAACTTGATTTTACGCTTTCGTTTTGTAATAACTGGTGTAAAGTAAAAACCAACGGCATAAATAACACCCCCGCAGCCCCTGGGTCGTACGAACAACATAAAATATATTTAAAGCACAGCACTAACGGTGGAAAATGTCCTTCAGCACTAGGTAATAGCAATCTGAAACTCAAGTGTTTTTTTATGTTTATACATCGAAAGAATCTCACGTAGAAATTAGTTCGATGTCAATGAGTTTGTCCTCTCAAAGATGAATATTATAATTCTTATTTTATCATTATTATATAAAGACGTGCGTATTCTCACATTTTCGAGAAAATGGAATGACTGACTCCTTCTTTCATTTTAAAATATGGTTCATTGAGATGACGTCATCAAATTGTTGGTGGGGATGATTAGCCAAATTTTGGTTAGTTCACATACAAATATCATCTATATGATATTTGTATGTTATGTTAGAAATACAAAATTTGACCACGATCGGTTCAGTTGTTTCGGAGATTACGTGTCTAGTATAAAATGGAGACAGACAGACAGACGGAAACGGGAGACTACTTTTTTCGTACTGTAGGGGTCATGAAACGTCGCGAAAACATAAAAGTGGCAATTCGTCGGATGGACTCGATACTATACCACGTGTTTCTTTTATTTGATACAACCTATATAATTTTTTTATTTTTAAAGATAAACATATAGTTTTTTGAGCAAATTTGTATCATTTTAAAAGATCACTTATGTGAATAAATGACATGATTTTTCAAGCTACTAGATTGTCATTAGTAGATACGAATTTTTCGTTTATTTTTTGAATAACTTTTCAAGTATTGATTTTAGAATATTGGTTGCTTTATATTTTTTACAAAAAATCAATCTTTCCATCTAAGAAAAAATATACCAAGTGTTCCATAAAAAAAAATTAAGTTGACGTCATTTCCGGTTCTACCGGAAGTGATAATAAAAATGTGAGGTTGCCATCACATAGATCTTTTAAAATGATACCGATTTGCTCCAAGAACCACACGTTTATCTTTAAGAACAAAAAAGTTACAGGGGTTGTATCAAATAAAAAAAACACCCGGTATACCTCTTAGCTTACGCTCGGGAAGTAATAAATGAGGTAATAAAATACCGAGTGTATGCTAATAAGACACTCAATTTGATTTATACCACAACAAGGCGTGAACCTTTATTTATGCCTCCACAAACTATATTAACACCTATTTTTATTATTCAAAATAATTGTTTTAATTGTCACGTCAAATTGGCGTAAAGGGTTTTTTTAAATAATTTCTGTCGAATTTTGACTTGCGAATTTAATCGTGTATCATTGAGTTGGTGTGCCATTTTTTAAACACCTGTATCAGTCTATATAGTCAAAGAACCGTCTTTGACTTATTTTCAGTAATGAGATATTGCGGACCGTGCGCTTAGTGACTCACCTTGTATATTTATTAAAACTGAATTTAAATAGTGCCTGAGCTGCACGAATCATAGCTAAATGTAGTTTATTACTGTGTACCTATCCAAGAATGAAAAATATACAATATGTTTTATTAAAAAATAATTAATATGACTGCAGCCATATAAATGTCGGTAAAACTTCAAAAAAGTCACTTTTCAAACAACGAAGATAATTAACCGAACCCTGTATATGAGAGACACATTTACATAAATTCGGTAGACCACAACTCCACAATTAATTATCAAGATCTAAGCTAACAAACTGTCAGTTTATGAAAATAAATGGGTTGTATAAACATCTGTCATTTCACCATCTTCTTGGCGACATGTTGACAAAATAAATTAATTTAACATGTCTTCTGTGCCCAAAATCAATTATCAATCAGTTTTTAGTTTTAAACAACCAAAAAGAATGAATAATTTTTTTTGTATAAATTTTGTCTATGAAAAATGCTTTGTGTTAAGGTATATCTTTTCAGCATTTTAAACAAAACATTTCGATTTTTCCTGAAAGTAGTACATACTCGTATTCCTGTAGATGTTTCCATCGTACTCTTATTTCTTTGGTACCACTAATTTCCCTGTTAATTTTATAAAATCATAAGTGTGATGTACTTTTTACTTTTTCTACTCGTATAAAAATAAATAGTTTTTAAAATAAGTTTCAAATTTCAAGAGTTTATAATGGTATTAGAGGTAACGTCTGATTCCGATATAAAAGGATTCCGTGGGTATAAACAGGATTTATTTTATTCTCAATCACGTGGGACCTCATTTTTCTTTATCGATTTGAAACAATTTTCCAGACTTCTATTCACACGACTATGGTTCCCGTTTACTTTAAAACTATTTTATTCAGAATAGAATTAAATTTACTAGACAATTTTAATATGTAAAACAAACGTGAAAGAAGACACTATTGTATGCTGTGTACTATACAGGTCAAAGCTTTATAGTAAATCAATCAACCGGACCAGTTTAAACAAAGTCAAAAAATAAATACCTACAAAAAATGGAATGTTTTATTCATTAATAAATGTTAATGGTAATAATTAAGTGATAACTGGAATGTTTTACCCATTAAATACAAAGCACATCACAAAATGGTTAACGAAGCAGCCTTTTGCTGTGGTTCAAGTGAGACATACTGTACATCATCCGTATAATCGTCAACCGGAATAAAACAGTCGGAGTAAACACACTTCGGCCCAGTTTGAACTTCCGTCGTCATAGTTTCGGACCACCTGAATGGAAACAACTTCTCCTGAAAACCCACGCAATTCACAACCAGCTCACGAAAATTTGGCTAACCTCACCTTGAAATAAATCTTCTCAGCATACGTTCTTTTCGTCGATCCAATATTCAGAAACAACGACTCCGAATACCAGATTGGGGTCGTGACAGGCTTAATGAAGCATTTAGTGGTGTACCTCTTCGGGGCTGATCCCGTAAAATCGGTGTTGGATTTCGTTAGGGTTATCGTTTCGGTCATAGTCCGCCTGCAACAGTTTAATAAAGGAAATTTCATCAAATTGGGATTGGACGTACACTCTTATGTTTTTGTTGATTTTTTCCACAAACAGTTCGTTGTTGTTGTTGTTTAATTTTATTTTCGCGGGAACATATTTGTTTCGGTTTTCTATTGTAACACGGATTGATGCCATGTTTGGGTTTGATTGATGGCGAGGATTTGGTGGGAAAAGAGTTTTTGTTGGATGTGTGATATGAATGTTTTGTGGCGTTTTGATGATTGTGTTTGTGTTTCTTGTGATGAGTTTGGTTGGGATTCGAATTAAAACAGTTTGAACAATTACTATTAACAGGGTAGAGGGGTGACAATAATTTATTGAAGTGGCAATTTATATAAAACAGCAGCAATCATGATTTTTATTCTATCGGTTTTATACTTTTTTTTACGTCATTTTTCAAGTGCTCGAGTTCTGTACTTGATCTGTTTTAAAGGAAAAGTATAGTTACACAGTTTTATATAAGAAAAACTGATTTCACATTGCAGACAAAAGTTTGGATACAACATAGTCTCTTTTTTACATTTATATTAAATAAGTTTTACTATTATTTTAATGTGGAAACTGTGGAAAAACCGACCTTATTCGACTAGTATTTATTTATATCTTTAATTTCGTTAGTTTCGGTCGAAATGTCGGCAACCAACATTACAAAACTAACATGTACTGCCTTGATAAGACCTTATTACAAAAATAAACATTACCGTTCTTTGTTTTCCTTGTCGGATTGTGTAGCAACAGCTGCCAGATTATCGTAGCTCCTTGTTTCTTTAACCTCTTTTCTCTGACCTTAAACAATAACAATTTAAAATATTCAACAAGCACTTTTGCAATAGTAAAGTCATAAATCTAACACCAATGTCTTATCTTATCAACCCATATCATTCTCTCTCTATTTAACTTAAAACGATAACGTGAAAATGCGACAGTAGGATTTCCAACTCCCCAACAATACAAATTTTATCTGAACATATGTAGTTTCAAATTTCAAGGTCACTGCATTCATGATCATAAAATTTGCAGTGTAGGTGTACGAATAACAAATTTCCGAACAAAAACCCACCGCAATAAAAATTCGTCGCTGTCTGATATTAGGAGGAAATGCACCCTGTACTTACCACCCTCCTCCCTCGCCACTCGAATTTTGCCGGCATTTTGCTCGTGCACTAGTTCACTATGAAACTTTTCGCATTCGATGAAATTAAAACTGTTGATTTTCATGAATTCCGTTTTATTTGGTATTTCGTTCTTCCACTTCATTTTGCAAAAAGTCGCGCTCTACACTTTTATTAAAAACCGACTGATTCGAAACGTTAAATTCAAATAGGAATCTAGTCGCCCGAAGACAACATCGCAACGGTGTGACGTCATCGCGTCATCGACGTTGCGTCATTTGTCGCTTATGAATAATATTTTGTGGAAATGACTGACTGTGGGAAGGGCGCCACAGGCAGAAGGGGAAATCAAACCTGTGTTATTGGTTTGTTGAAAAATATTAATAATGTTGCGATCAGATTAACAAGAAAGATAAAAATAATAATACCATTTACATTGAACATTTCGTTTTAAATTTAAGAAAACAACTTGTGCCTGTAAAAAAAATGTCTTTACATTTTATACCACCCTGTATGTATAATGTATGTGCAATTTTTTGGAATCCATAATAGGTAGACGCTATATGGACTTAAAAATCTTATCTTAATTTCCCGAGGTCTGTTTCATAATTTTTTGAAATTTAGACTTCAAATATTCTTGGGATTGAATTTTGGCCCGAAAACCTAGACTTATCAGCACTATAAGGAGAGAAATTGTTGTGGGTACCCAGTTTTTCCAGGAACTTGCCACCATTCCATTCGAAACAGTGTCAGGTAGTCCGGAGATACACAAATAGTCTGGTGAAGGGTAGGTGGTTGGGCAGATATTAGCTGCTTTGTGGTCGTCTGGTATTGACATTCTTTGTGGAGGCGCAGGGGCCCACACGTATAAAAAATAACCACAAGATTTCCAAAGTAGGTAGAAAATAACTATTCATTTCGCTATGGTTTACAAGAATAATTAATTATCTTCATATTTTTCGTCCTTGCTGCAACATAGTTTCCCTTTCTCGACTCTTAAATCAGTAATATAACCTCTTTTAGCTGCAGCAGTTAATTTAAATACAATCATAATCTCACTGACTCATAAATACGGCGATTTCTTCATTTCTAGCCACATAATTCAATTGAGATCTGCTAATTAAATAAGTCATTTACTTTCCCTTGCTGTGTAATTTATTTCTTTAATAAATTTTTATTGTGTAGATATAGTGTTGAACCGCATTTAGTCACTTACTGCCGATGATATTTCACTTTATTAAACCTGAAAATGTTATCCTGTAGAAACTTTCTAAATACGCATATCAAAAATAAAAGTTCGACCGTAAAAAGTTAAAAGATCTTAAAGTCCCAACTTCTTGAACAATAGTTGTATAAGCAGTGATAACAGGTCAAGGGTGCAGGATCGCCTTGTATAACTTGTAAAACTGTCTTCATCATTATTATAGAATTCTTACATAATCAATCATCAACTTCCTATGTATAATATTGATAAATTAATTGATAGAATTATCTGTAACGGCGATATTTTGGTGCCCTGACCAGTATCACAAGGTTATTTCAAAGTGAAGTCAGAATTTTGCTACAATTTTTTTTTTGTATGCATTTTTGCCAAGTAAAAGATACTAAATACAAGATTTTCTGGATATTTTCTCCTGACAAATTTTTTCGCCTTCGCCAGCACAACTCCGGATTAAATTCGACCTCCCCTCGTATTCCCAAAAACCGTAATTTTGTGCAAACGTATCACTCTGCAGCGAAAACAACTGTTGGACTCGCGCCAGATGGAAAAGTCGCCTAATGTAATTTAGCTCGCGATCTAAAGTCAATATTTCCGTGAGGCAAACTTCCTTAAGTACGTCATAAGACAAACAGTCTAACAAAGCCGTGACTTGAGAAACGAACGAGTATAATGAGAAGCTGCCACTAGAAAATCCTTTTTTATTTTTCTCATCCACTTATCGAATTAGGGTGGAGGCTTTTGCAGGTTTTCCGAGTGTCGGATGGTGCTTACTTACCTTTTCTGTTTGTTATTATTGAAAATTTCCAAGCGCATCCACATTCTCGATATCTTCGGATATTTGATTCGTAATCTTGGGAAAGGGAGTTTTCTGAAGTACGGTCGAAGCGCGTTTCCATCGTGAGATCTACGCGGTTTGGATGGGCGGAAGTTGTGTCACGGTTGGGACAATGGGGCATGGAAATGAGGTGGGGAAGCGGTCATTCAAACTTCAGAGAAAGAGTGAATAATTTTTTATTTAGACCGTTCATTGTTTACACTGGTTGAGATTTTGCGGTTGTATAGGTAAATACAAGTATTACAAGATGTAGGGGAAACCGGCCCAAAGCGATATTTTCGAGCAAACTGACATTAAAGTATATTAAAAGGGTCTGGTTGCAGCAGCTGAATATTTACTACCTTAGTATTATCTATTTATAAATTAAAAATCTACCACCTGTTGCTTTCTAAAAAGCAAAAGTGGAGCAACTGGCCTCGCATTTGCTAAAAGTTTTAACAAATTAAAAAGAATGTTAATGTAAGATTTTCGCTGGTCAACGAGTTACCATCTGACATTATTATCAGTATTATCTGTTGTCTCTAACTTTTTCGTAACAATAGTATCGCATATATAACTATGTTCTATTTAGAGAACACTGACTGGATAACTATACATTTATCAGTTGTTGAAACTGTACTCAAAAACTGTGAATGGAGTAGATTCAAATAGTTTAGATAAGTCAAGTTTTTAAGGTTTAGATATTGAATTTGGACTTTTTGTAATTCTGATGGTTACAAAACTATTTTATCGTGAATCTTTATTTTTTCAGATTATCGCCGACCTTTAAACAACTTGAAGTCGTACATTTTCGAAGTACGAGTGAATGAGTACTTCCTGAGTGTTTTAAAGGTTACAATAATATAAAGATTTTTCTACGTGGTGCTACGCTAGGTTTATTTATTCAACTTAAGCGGAGTTTAGATTTTGCTAATTCGTGAGAAACTGTTAGCCATAAATGCAAAAAGCTGTCGAGATTAGAACTGAATATCATAATAAATATGAATAATTCATGAATTTTAATTATGAACATGTAAAAAATTGGTAAATGCTAATAACAAGGGATAAAGGAAAAAGTAGTTGGTTAATGCATAATCGATATTCGTAGGCGTAACATGTCATTATTAAAATGGACTAATTTGTAGGATCATTTGCTGTGGTTATTTTTGTAATGATAATCCTCAAAAGTTTCACATTTACATAAATACGAGTTTGTTAAAAATCTGAAAAATGATTGGCCTCTAAGGCATAACTAATTGTCAGTAGAACTATTTCTAACTACTGAAGTATCAATTTTTGGGAAAGTAATCATTCATTGATATGTGAAGTGCAATACGATTCATAAAAATATAAAATTTTCGAAAAGATTGGTTTAATAATTTCTCTAATGACGTCATTAACTTTTTACAGGGAACGAATAAATAAGTTTTAGTTTATATTCTATAATCCTTAAACCAATGTGAACATTTCATATTTTTGTTCCTTCGCCCAGGAATAATACATATAATGCAGAATGTTATTTATGCATCCATTAAAATTTGATGACGTGATTATAGAGGTTGGACGGCACAATTCCATGGGTGGTGATGACTGTAAAATGATCGTTTCGGTTACCGTTTGGTGCAAATATAGGGGTTGTAATTGAGAGAATTGAGGCGCACCGAAAGCAAATGGCAAAAATTATCTGTAATAATTTTGTTGTGTATAAAATTGGAGCTTTGTGGCTGTCGGGTTCGAGAGCATCATAGGCTGAGATAATGTACTATTTTACTCTTGGTTGCAAACATTTTCCTTTTGCAATTATTGCACTTAAATTTTTCTCGACATCCGAATTAAAATTATTCGTGTAATCAATTCCTCATGAGACCGTGAATTTTAGGGAGTCAGCGATTTTTTTTATCTCCGTAACGTAACTTTGTCAAAAATTTTGTTAAGACTTTTTCTGTATAGGATTATTATATTTACCGTATATTTTTTTTTGATAGTAACACTTACGAGTATTGTATTTTCAAATTTTCTGGAAAATGGAGTCGTTTTTGATTTGATCAGTAAAATAATTGGCTTCATTCATTAATTTTTTCGAGACACTTGTGTAAACAATTCTAAAAAATATGAATGCGTTGATAAATCAGAAGTACAGACTCAAAATACGTTGCACACTATAGATAGGATAGGAATTTTTGAGAAAGGGTCAACGGATAAATTTTGATTCACCGTGTACAACGCTTACGACAATGTAAAGCATTTGCAAGATTTTATTTTCCAAAAATCTAAATGTTAAGGGTAAAAAATCAAGACGGTTCCATAAATCACTACTATAGAACTATGTTATTCTATAAAATTTAAATAATCTTTACCATGCAAAATTTTGAAGTAATGTCACGTTATCCTTAAAAATAAATACATATAAAATTTGACAACAAAGTAGACGTATTTTTTCAAAGTTTTTTGTACAGGAGAAACAAATCTTGATAAAATTTAACACTTTACCTTTGAATTAGTTTTTCTTGATGCTTTTGCTCTATCGAAATAGTTTTGACGTTGTGGACTATATGTAATGAGTAGTTGAAAAACTTATTTCAACAAATTAAAACATTATTCTTACTTCCCAAGCCTAAGCTAACTACAGTAATCGAATCCATCGGGCGACTGTGGCTTTAAAATGTTAGCCTTCTATTTTGAATAGACAAACTGATTCAAATCAAACAAATTTCTGCGTGCCATTATTTATTTCCATATATCAACATATATAAACACTTGAAATTAAGCTTGCTATTAGTACTGAGAGGGCATTTTTCTCGTTATTTATCTGTTTTAAATATATTTTACATTGTCCATATTTGGGAGCCCAAATTCTTGGCGCAGGGGCTGCGGAGGTCTTATTTATGCGGCCAGTTTTCACTTTATAAGAATTATCAGAAAATGCAGAGATGGCAAAATCATAATTTTATAATTTTGTAAAGAAACGAGATTTGTCGGATTATACTTCAACGGCTTGAGAAGTTCTGTCGAAATAACCTTCGATCAATTTTTTTCTATATAACGTCTCTTTACTCGTCACACTTCGTTTCTCTTTCAAAACACATATACATATGTATACCATATTCTTGTAAATATTTTTCTGCACTGAAATACGAGTTTTAAATCTTTTAAAAGTATGTTCCTGGTACATATAAGGTCTATTTAAAGTTTGTTGAGTGCATACAAAAATAACAGATTCTTCATACTCATTTTTACCCGACGAACCTCAAATCCGATCCGGGGTCTTTATCCATTTAAGCATGATCTTGTTACGTTTATGATTATGTACAAAATAATTCCACCTGGAATGGATTTGACTAGACTCTACTTCTCCCATTGTTTGGACATAACTCTCCCTGCTCGAGACGGTGGTTCCCATTTAAAGAACTACGCGGTCCTTTTCGAAACGCCTCCGTCACTGGTTCTAGACTTGTCTGGAGCACCCATTCGCGACTTCCGCTTCCAGGCTCTTCTCCGGCTGCCGTCACCGACAATGAATCACCATCGCCGTACATACTAGAACCCATCGTAATAATATTAATTCTGGTTCGGCAATTACCTTATCTAGGTAAAACTCCTTTTCCATTATCATCCTTACAGTAGAACCTGAAGACCAATTCAAAAATCTTCACGGGAATAATTTGTTAAAGTACCCATTTTTTAGCTATTGTTGAATGAAGCAAAACTTAAATAGCGCATTTTTCATAAATGTAGGCAACCCAATATTCTCTTTCGTAAGTTATGTTTTCGATTTATTAGAGGGAGATCCACTATTGAGAAATCAGGTGGATTTTAAAGCCGCTGCCGAGAAAGTATGCAAATGAGCTGGCACTTGTTGTCGACGTAAAAGTGTTGACTTGAAGGTTGTGGATTAAAAAAAATATCATATTGTTTTAATAAAAGACGGTATATATTTTTCCTCTTGTTTGTGATTTTTCTTATAAAGCATGCATAAGTTAGACAAAACAATTAATTAAAGTTTAAATTATTTAAAATTGGAAGAAATTATTGTTGTTCGTTTGGAATGAGATGTAAGGTTATATGGCCATCATAAAATCATCCCATTGTGTGGAAGTTAAGTTGTTTACAATAGAAAAGGTTTTAGGGTCGTAAATAACGTGTCCACTGCAGCTCGACCGGCTGTTGTGCCTTCGTTCAGAGGCGGCTTTCACTAAATATGAAAATCCACCACTCCACTATTTCTGCCGGCCCTGTTAAATGTGAGCAAGAAATGTTTAGAAGACGATTTATTGCCAACCGGTAAGCTTAGTGCGAACCACACAAAGGGGGTATTTATTTTCGGTCAACTACTTTTACGATGGTCATATAAGCTTATAATATATTCCTGAAGTAATTACAGATTTTGACGATACTGTCTTATTACAGACTTAAAACAACCAGACAAGGAGGACTCTTAAAAAGGACTGCTAAAATTGATACAAATTTTACATTTGCTGTTCTTATTAGTGTGTACCAGAGCTAAGGTGAGGGACTAAGGCACTCCAGGTACCAGTGTAACGAGACATAACCTTGAACCGGAGTTGATGGTCACCAATTCCCTGTTCCAATTTCCCCTCATATTTAATTTTGACACGAGTAACATGTACTCCATTTTTTAGTATCCATGTCTAACACGAGTTTTTAAGCTCAGTGTCGAAAAATCAACAAATATAACTTCGTTCTTGTATTCATAGCTCAACAAATTAATATCAGCAAGTTTTAGGAGTCCAAAACCTGTCTTACATTTTCGCACAATCGTGTGGAATAATTGGCAGAGGACTGTATTTTGACAGTCAGCATGCATTTGACTATTAAGTACGAAAAAAAATATTTTGGTGAGTAGTGTTTTAAACGTGGCGCTATATCGATCACAAGCTCTAACCAGACAACGAGTTAGATAACCAACCATACATTATACATCCCACGCCATCTTCGTCAACATATTAATTTGACAAGAAGCGATGAGTTTGCCATCGTGATGAGGTAACCTCAACATGATAGAATATAGAAAGTAGAAACGTTTTAAGTGGGTAAAAAAAATCCATATTAGTGTGATATAATAAAAGAACGTTAACGTAAGCTACCATTTACGGTTTTCTTTTTTTGTTAATTCACGTATAAAAAAATAGAAAATAAACAAATCGTGCCTTTCTTTTATCGCAACGTTTTTACCTTAAACTACGCTAGGAGTAGGAATAGAAAAACACGTTTTGCACGTCACTTCCTTGAAATCAAAGCTGAAAACAGTGTATAGCAAGCGCTCCTCAGACAAAGCAGTACAGTGATAAATATTTATAAATGAAACAAAACGTAAATGAAAATTGTTATAATTAATAGAAGGCTAAACTTTGACCTCAGCGCAGCGAGTGCACCTGAGTAACAGTAAGAATTTCGATTACGAGTAGTACTCATTCAATTAGTATCTCGGATCACTCGTCTTGACGACTCATTTGTACTTTTGTCATAAGTTCAAAAGATAAGTACTTTATAAAGCGATAAACTAGAAGCAGTGAATCGTTCGGTTAGTTCAGTCACTTCAGTGTTCCGTCAGATCGAGCTGGTTTCACTCGATTTCAACTTTCAGTGTGTTTAATTCGTCTTTGTCAAACAGGAATATCCAGCAACATGCAACTTTTCCAAATACTGCCTCTCGTTCTGCTCATAGGTGAGTTCCAATTTAAAAAAGTCCCACGGACTGTTAAACCCTGACCCCTTAAAAACGGCCGCCGCAAATTCACAATTAAAATATTACAAAACTAGACTTATAACTCGTTTGAATGTGAACTTTGCCCTGTGATTAGTAATAAAAAACCTTTTATACTTGCCAACCATCAAGAGTACCTGTTATCAGTCAAGATAATGTATTGTCTAATTATAATTTACAGGCTTCGGGGTGTGTCAAACCAGCAACAATTTAGATTCTGCTGACATTGAAAAACAGCTCAAAAACAATTTTCCCGCACTGGAAAATTTTAACTCAAGCAAACTCCCAACCGAAGAAGATGTTGAGAAACTCGTTAGAGAAAAGTGCGACAAGAACGGAGGGGGTGAAGAGGCTTTTAATGCTCTCAAGGTTAGTACCGGGAAATCGTCTTCAAATGTTTTTCTTTTTTGCGATCGTCTAATGGTTGTTGCGTCCGTTGTTTTCGTGTTTGTTTATGAAAGGTGGTTATATTGCAAGAGTTTTGAAATTTGTCGTGTAAAATATAAATAAAACTAAGTAAAACAGTCGTGTGTTTTAAATTGTAAATACCAATTCAAGTATTCAGATGTAAATGTAGTGTTTTGGTTTCGGATGTATAATTAATGGTATTACCAAGTGAGACCTACCTGGGTGGCCTTCAAAAATTTTTCAACAACAAGAGTTTTATTGGTGCGTGTGATAAAACATAAAACAAAATATATAACGAAACGAAAATGACGTTTCGACGTTGTATTGACTCTCTGTAGAATAGATGGCGGGACATTTTGTAATATCGATAGTTTAAACATTTAGCAAATTTTCCTAAACGTAAAACTACTTTCAAAATGGGCCAGCAAAATCTTGAAGTGTCAACAATGTCAAAATATTTGTATTTATCGAACGCGATGGAAATTTTCCAGACTCTGCCAACCTTTTATCCAACTTTATCTTTTGCTGACCAATCCAACACATTTTTTAAGCCACAGCCATTATTATTCAGGCAGGATTTCTACTTCCGACATCAATATGTATGTATTATCCATGTAATATGACATGACCTGACACTAATTATTGTCTATGTGGTCATGAATTTTTATTTTATGCTACTGGAACCTCGTAAACGACCGGATATAGGAATTCGGTTAAATTAGAAAAAAAATACTATTATGTGATCGAGGCCATTAGACGACTTGCCATTTTCATGTTTTTTCGACGTCATGACCTCTAGAGTACGAAGAAAGTGGTTTCCTGTTTCCGTCTGTCTGTCGTCTGTATCAATTTTTTTTTGGACACAATGTATAAACATCTAGATGTTTGGAAAAAAAAATCAAAATTGTACCTATAACAACATTTTGCAAAATTAACTTTGAAACCGCAAAACTGAATTTTCTGAAATGTTGCAAACGTTTTAAAGTTATCTAATCGTAGTAAATCGTTAACTAAAATTTATTCGTTTATCCGCTCCCAGAAATTGATGACGTCTTCTCAAAATTTTGTTTAATAAATCCTTTCTGAAATTTACAAAACATGACTCAATTTTTGTGGTTTATCAATGCACTAATATTGTTTGTATTATTTATAGAGGGTGACTCAAAAAAATGAATGAGGCAATTCATTTTATTAATTAAATCAAGAGCGACTCGCTCAATTTCCCGAAAATTTTAGAATACAGTACTGCTATTATTAGCATACACTCCATCTATCCAAATTGATATACATGTCCTTGCAAAAAATGTTGATGACGTCATCACAAAATTTTGTAATGGAAAAACTCACTTGAAACAAACGCATGACACGCTTCTTTGCATTTACTTTAAGATTACATACATATCTTTATTAACTTGTAAGGGCTATCACTTATCATAAAATAAAATTAGCAAAATCGAATTTTATAATTTTCCGAAAAATCTGGATTTATTAACTTTCGAGCAATTTTTTGATTCACAACTTTACGTTTTTTCATTTTCCCAATTTTTTTAATTTTCATTTTCTGGATTTTATATCACAATTTTTCGTTTTTCCCTTTCCTTTATTTTGTCAATGTTTCTTTTGATTTTATAATTTTTCGTTAATTCAATTTTTAATCTATCGTTTTTTCAGTTTTTCATTTCTCCAATTTTTCAAGTTCTTGATTTTTCGATTTTTCATTTTTGATTTTTCAATTTTACAATTTTGCAATTCTTTTTTTTATTCGAAAAATTGAAATATCGAAAAAGTGGAAAATCGAAAAACTGAAAACACGAGAAATTGGAAAATCGAAAAATTTACATCGAACAACTGAAAAAACGAAAAATGTACACAATGAAAAACTAAAAATTGAGAAACTTAAAGTCGAAAAAATTAATGATTCGAAAAATTGGAAAGAAAAAAACTGAATCGAATAGAAAAATTGAATAAATGAAAAAGTTTTAAAATCTTAGGCTTGAAAATACAAAAAAAATCTAAAATCGTAAAATTTAAAAAGTGCAAAATTTGAAAAATTATCATTATTACATACATACATATTTAGAAAACTAGCAGAACTGCGGATTAAAAAAAAAAACTTAAAATGAAAACTCGAAGAGTTGCATTAAAAAGGAATTTAAAATACAAAAATTTATAAAATCGAAATATGTATTGAAAAATTTAGAAGTTGTTAAAATAAAGAAAATAAAAACCGAAAAATTGAAACGAGAAACAAAAAAAAAATAAAATTGAAAAAATACAAAAGTATAAAATTGAAACATTGAAAAATCAAATAGTTGAAAAAATAAAAAAACCAAAAAACCGAAACGAAAAATTACAAAATCTAAATATTGAAGAAATCAGTAACTAAAAAAATTAAAATTGATAAAACACAAAATTATAAAACTGAAATATTGAAAAATCGAATAATGGAAAAAATAAAAAAAAATAAAAACAAAACGGAAATTGCATGTCGAAAAATTGCAAAATCTAGAAATTAAAAATTCAATTAAAAAAAAACTGCGACAGTGTTATTTTCACCACTGGTTTTTAAAGTGTTTTTTTTTTAATAGAGTTATCAGAAAACAACAATCGTTAACAATTTTTATAATTTTCCAAAGAAGCAGAATTTGTTGGGCTAGACTCAGAGGCGAGGGAAGTTCTGTCGAAATAACCTTCGACCAATTTTTTTTTAAATTCTTGGAAACACCTATCAAGTTTTTAGAACATGTGAACAGCGATCTACATGATAACCATAAAGTGAGTGCAAAATTATTCTACAGGTATTCGTTTTGTCGTTTCTAAGTTAAGTTGTAAAATTTTGTTGTACAATTTTGATTGTTTTCCGAAATTCTGCATAAAGTTAAAAATGACGATATGTAGAATCATGGTCATTAAACATTATTTGCACATTCGAAATAGGATTTACTTGGCAAAATTTTGAGATGACATCATCAAATTGTTTATAGGGGTAGTCAAGCCAATTTTGGTTTATCATTTAACATCATCTACACGAGATTCATAAAATGCATATAGAATTTGGCCACAATCAGTCGAGTAGTTTTGAAAATTACCCGACACATGACAGAAACGGAAACGGGAAACTTACGTAATCGCATTGGTACAAATTGTTTTCTTTATGACCTCCCATAATGGAAAATAAAAATTCACACTTCGTAATCATTACCTACATATAGAAAGAAACACTACAACAGTACCTAGTAAAATTGTAATGGTATTTCAAAATTAACCATGAAGGTTAGACCCACAAAACCATAAATCACAAATTCAATGCAACCCTGGATTTTTCTAGCCCATTCTACACTGGCGGCACGCTCCTTTTATTGGCGTCAATATCCCCTGCATTATCCGACAATCCCTCAAAGTAGCAGTTGTAAAATTGTACTAGGTACTGTTGTAGTGTTATTTCTTTAACTGCTAGATGCTATGTGTCAATATTTTAATTAATACATCGGACGACCTTCTTTTACTCTCCCATTAGACTTCAGTTTTAAAATCGAAATCATTTGTAAAAAAAATGGTCTGTGTACCGTGACGAAAGTACCTTAGACGATCATCACACGAGGTCGTCGTTACTCTCGGCTTTCCGTCGTGTGTGTATAATACTTTCTCTTTCGTACGATAAAGTGTAATTTCGCGCTTTTGGCACTATTGCAACGTTTTATGTGGTCGGATGGTGATACAAATATTTTACATGATTTTGAAACCGTCTCTGATTTATTTCATTATTTGTGTAATTTTTTTTATCGTTCATGATAGTCCCACAGGATGTTGACTTATCTGTGTTGCAATAAATTAATCGTATTCTATCATTGAATAAAGTGATATATTCCAGAAAATTTGCAAATGTTGATTGATTCTTGAATGGAATTTTACCAAATTTAACGTAAAATATGACCGGTGTATTTTCCAAGGTATTTTTGACCAAATTATTTTTTTGGTTTGTTAGAAATACTAACCGTATTTTTCCTATCGCGTTGAATAACACATTCGACAAGCAGCAACCAAAAAAAACTGATCGAATATTTTAAGTACAGTGAAGAATAGTTTTTGTTCAATTCCTAGCAAACCGGTTCTTGGAATGTTTAAACTAATTATCAATTTATTCGAAACAGGTATTTTAACCAGAAGAGTATTATAAATAAAAATCTAGTAAATGTTGGAACAACATTTGTACTATGTTTTCATTATTGGAAATGGAAAATCAGTTCCACAAGTGATTATAAAAGATTGCACAAGTTGGCTGTGACATTTCGTGAATCTTGCCGCCTCGTTGTGATGATTGATTACTGCTTGTCACCTGTCACAAATATCAATTATAACTTAATTTCCGTAAAAATACACTTGCAGGCACTTTGAACAATTGTTGAAGGAATGTCTGATGAATACAAGTGAAGCTAAAACTAAACTACAACATTCGTTTATATATGTAATCCAAATTCAAATATGGAAGCGGCAAATTTTTATATTGATATAGGAATTTTTATAACTACCCTGCACAAGCAAACAACAGTTGCCTGCATCGTTTATGACAACTAACTGTATAAGAACTGATAAAACAGAATATAAATATTAATTCAATAAAGATTGTCTAGTGCTTTGTGTTTAACCGACATGACACAAAAGTTAGCTTCTGCATGTACAATAAAAATGTTTTCATGGCTTTCTTCAAATCACACAAGCATAATGGGCAGATATTTAAAAAACAGTAAGTCATTTTGTTAGTTTACAACAATTAACTTTTAATGCATGTTTGTCTACGTGACTTCATGTTATTGTCCCTTATGTTGTTGAACTCAAAAATATATTGCGCCCATATTAATGGCAGTTGTCTGGTTGGTAAATAACATAAATTTTACATATCGCAATTACAAAAAGATAAGTCGCGGGATATTTACATAATATAAATAACTGAATAACCAATTTTGGAACCCTTTTTGAAAACTGATCTTTTTTTCCTGCAGGAACAACAAACGGAGCTTCAGGCCTGCATCGAGGCCCAACTTAACGCCACTGAAATCCAAGCCGAACTCGAAGAATCTAAGAAAACAGGTTCCATGGACGAAGTTTTCGGAAAGTACTGCCAGAAGTACCCCGAAATCTACAAATGCATCACAACCGTAACCGAAAAAGTCAAACCTTGCCTTGATCCCCAAGAACAAGACACGATGAACAAAACGCTCAACGTCGTCGACGAAATAAAAGAGTTCGTCTGTTACAAGGACGGAGACCGTATTGCCAGTGCGTACCTTGAACCCTTTGTTCATCATCACGACATCCTGAATGCGTAATTAGCGTGACTAATTATTGTTTTCCAGTGTTTATCGCCGAGGGGGGCGTCGAATGTTTGGAATCACGGAAAGAGCAGCTGCAAGAATGCGCTAATAAAACTTTAGGGTCCAGAATACCAACCGACATGTCGGTTAATAGTTTGCCTATGTTTTTGTTTACTGAAAGGGAGTGCGAGTAAGTTGGGTGTAGAAGATGAAGTAGCATTTAGTTTTTTTTTTTTCTTTTTGTAGCGATTTTGATGAAGTTCGGAAGTGCTTTAACACGGAATTGGAGAAATGTAAAGATAGCACTCCTGCTAATATTGTTGATGCTTTCTTTAAGTTTTTAAAGAAACATTTGCCTTGTGGTACAACTGGTCAACGAGTAATGAGCGTGAAGGCAGATGAGCCGAGTTCTTCGTCTGTCGTCACGCTTTCGTTGCTTGTTGTAGGGTTCATGGTTCTTCTGTCTAGGTTCTTGTGATTTAAATTAGTTTTATTTATTACTGTTATTTTGGATAGAGTAGTGAAATGGAGTGATTGTGTATATACTCTAAATTGTTGAAGATATATTTTTTATATGAAGCACGAAATAAAGATTTTAGGTAAAAACGTGTTCATTGTTAATTGGTGCGCTTGAACATTCAAAATAAAACGAATGTATGTGTCTTCTATAAATCGGCGTTTATGACGTCCATCATTTGGCATTTAAAACCAGCTGAAGCGTTGCTGCTGTTCGTTTATGACCAGCAAAGTCTTAAAATTTAGGTTAAACAATAAGGTTCACTTAAGGCCAAAATTAATGCCGCTCCCACGCTTTTCAGTACCCAAAGATCCGCTACGTCGGGGTCATTGATGTTCAAAAGGCTGAGTTTAGTCTTGCAATGAAGAAAGTTTAAAATCTGTGTAGGGATAGCGATTTTTTTGCAAACTCAAATATGTCAACAACTTCGAAAAATAGCCTTTCATTGGAATGACCTAAGGGCAAGTTCTACCTTTGTAAATCTCGGTATTTAGTCAATCAAATTATATTAAAATGTACTCAAAACTGTGTTGATCTAATTAAAGTGACGATAATAATTAGAGGAGAAAAAACTGTAATCCGTAAAGTTAATACCGTATTATTAATTAAATACACTAGTCCCAGTCATAACACAACTAACGTCCAAAAAAGAAGTTTCTGTCAACCACGACCGTATAAAACAAATGTTCATAAGTGTATTTTAAGTGGTATATACTCTATACTACCAACACAGTATAGATATCAATCAGTAGAGACAGCTCGCCGTTTTTCGTGACCCGTTTTCGTGGGTGGACGTTCGCATTATGACCGAATGAGGGCGCCCAACTGACGTCTAAAATAGAGACCCTAAATCAGAGATATGTAAAAGACAGATGCGGTTATAGCTTTCCCGATCTAGGGCCAACATCTATGATCTAAGAGTAGCAATACTTTGTGTCGCCTATCCTTTTCTATATCAGCACCAGTACTATGGATTGCCAAGTGTAGGCTACATCCATCACTCTCTAAAAGGTGGTTGTCTTGTTATTGGCCCGTTCTGGTGGCGGCAATTATAAATAATTATAACCACCCACAGTCTGATTGGTCTGACAGGGACCGGCACAAACACAAGAACGGCATCAACGACAAACGTTGCGCCAACTGATTGGTTGCGCCGTTCAGAGCGAGACCTTCAGATATCGGGTTACCATTGTACGTGCTAGAGAAAAAGAGGGAGATATAAACGTATACTGACATCTTGGGCCTAAACGTATGTCCACGAGAACATTAAATATCTGTATCTAGTCTTTTACATATCTCTGCCCTAAATAAGAGAGTCTGGCCAAAGCCGCCATTTTATATCACAATCAAGCGCGCCTTTTTTAAAATTTGGCGTCACGTGTGTAATAACCAAAAAAGTAGCAGAAATTCGGTTACAAAACATTAAATAAATTGAAGGAAAAAATTACTGAATTACCAAAAATGTATTTAATTATCAAAAACAAAGGTGGTCATCAACGAACGAAATATGTAAATACAATTATATATAGCGTGTTATTGAAAGGTACGTACAAAATAAAATCGACAATTGGTCTCGAAGTATGGGTGCTAAAAATAAAAAAAGTTCAGGTAAAAGTGTTCTCCTTTTAGAGTTAAAAATTATTAAAATTTATGTCCAAATTTGTTGTACGCTTCTGATAAAAAGATCATCTTTCGTTTCTATAGCAACATTTAGTCTTGACAAAAGTTTTATTGTTACAGTTACTAGGATTAACTAAAATAAATTAATCTTACCTATTTTTCCTTCAGTAGCGTCTAAAAAGGTTAGATACGGGTTAATTTTCCCCTTATAATTTTGATAACACAAAATAAGTTTTTCAGGCTTCTTAGACTTCGCGAAGAACTGTCAATTTATAAATAACTATAAACTACTAGATGGCTTAAAAATTCGTACATGTTATGAAGCAATATAAAAAAATCTTCTTAAGCGGAAATAAGACAAAAAAGTCAATCAACATAAATTTATTCTAGTTTACATCATGATGCATTGCCATACTTTTGCCACAGTATTTTGCTGTCACGGTGTAATTTACACGGTGGCAGTTGTTTCGTATACAATATAAAATCACAACAACGCAATAAATGTCACCGTAGTCACAGCTGACAGTTTTAAGCGTATCTGCAACCAGACATACCGTTTTCAATACGTTTTCAAACAGAATGTGATATAAGATGGCCGCACCAATGAAAGCCAAGCGACGCTTTGGCCAGACTCTCTTATTTAGGGTCTCTAGTCTAAAATAAAGTCACTAGATAGATTAAGTACCGCAATGCTCCTCCATTTTGGGGCGGTAAATTTAAATGTTATTTATCTGAAATCTGAATTTTTCAAGGAATGCAAAAATATTTAGCCAAGAGGGCTATATACTTTGGCATATAGTGAAAATAACAGACATCAACATATTATATTATGGGAGGTAAATGCTGAGAAGGTAATTATTTTTTAAACAAACAAAAATTGGAAATCTCCAAAGTTACCAGGTTTTGGGAGAACAAGAATATAAAAAGGGCTGGAAGATACGTAATGCAACTAACAATAAACTAATTATTATTTATTATTATACACGTGCTATACACCACAGAACTCAATTTATGTGACGTAGCAGAGAATGCGTCCTTGAAGCACTTCTACCAGTAAACTTTTAGTAATGTACAAAAGACACTAAGAAGCGCCACCATTTTGGGGCAAAATTGACATATCTCTCTCTAACTCATGGGCCTAATGGATTGCGGTACTTAATCTATCTAGTGACTTTAGTCTAAAATATTTGAAATTTGGCAGTTTTGTTACAATATTTTTGCCGGTTTTGCTTGTTTAAGACTGCTTTTCCGGTAGAATTGTACAAATAGTATAAAAATGTAATTTTCACAATAAAAGGTAAAATCTTTGTCCGATGAATTTTCATACAGGATCCCTGTTGTGCGCCTTATTCTCACCATCGTGTTTGGAATTCTTGGAAAAGATAGTAAACATAACACACTTTTTGTTTAAAAAGTCGTCGCGAACGAACAACGGTGGTTATGGAATAAATAATAAAAATTTATTATATATTGTTGTGGTAAAATTAAATATAAAAATAATAAGAAACAAACTACACGTAACAAAAAATTATATAAGCAGACCTTTACTCAATAAACAATTTTTTTATTCATCATGTATATATATTTTTTTTTGACCTACACAATCTTGAGTTTTATTTTGAGACGTTGCTTAACCCATAAGCAGTCGCGCGTGGGTAAAAATGACCCAAGCCGTACATTTTGTCAAATATCCTATTTCGCTTAATCCCTATGGACTTCCGGTTTCATGAATTCCTTAATTATTCTTACTTGCGTCGACCCATATCAATTACCTGCACTTTATGTGAGCCGACAAATATGCATTTTTTTTGTAAGAATGTTTTTAAATAAAAATTTTACTTCATATGGTATTACGCTTACGGCTTAAGTTGTTAGGTAAAATGGGTTTGACTATATATTAACAAGATAATTTCTTTTTTTACATTTGTGAATTGGAGCAAATTTTTAGTGAAAATTTTGAAAATATAATTTTACAAACAACTACTTTGTTGAAATTTTTAAATTTATATAAGCAAGCTACATTTGTTCATCCATGCCAAAACTTTCCATACGACTATTTGCTTGCTTTGTATGCTAGGATGAGATTATTTTATGCACTAAAATTTGTAAATGCTAGCTTTAAATTTACAAATGCCAAAGGTGAAAAAATTAATAAAAAGAAAATAAATTGGCAGCATTAACTTTTTTCCTTTTTGTAATTTAATTTTTATTTTATTTATTTTTTCTTAAATAAACCTCTTTCTTTTTAGATGTATTTATTACATTATTTTTACAATGATAATTAAATCTCAGTATTCGGGGAAAGAATGTGCGAATTGTCAAATTGTATAAGTAATAAAATAAAAACTGTAACAAAGCATCGTGTTTATAAATTAAATTTCGACTTTTCTTTTTTCTTATTGCTATTCACGATTATACGATTTGAGCAAACTACACAGTTTGCAATAAATTGCGTACACGAATCAATTTTTGAAATTGTAAATGAAGTGATACTTTTTAAATTGGGTGGCGACATCTAGGAATAGTTTAGGCAACGACCACCCATTACGGCTTAAAATTCGGGTCAGAAAGAACAAAGGCGCCGACACGAACTGTCTCTACTGGTTGATATCTATACTGTGCTACCACTCGATTGCGTTAACTGACTAAGATTCTGAATTTCTAATTTTATTGGGGGCTGACCGTAGCCAGTCGATACTTAGGCCTCCGCTTTGTGCCCATTGTACCTTCCCCAAGTCCATATCAGGGTGTTTTCCCGCTCCTCTACTCGTCAAGCCATCCAACTGCTTGAATGTACTTGAGTAATGCAGAGGGTGGGAACTCCCTGATTTTTGATATACTAGGTCAGATGTCCCCTAGTATGGATTTTCTGTAGGAGGCTAACGCTAGACACTCCCGAAGAATGTGCTCAGCTGTTTTCTCTTCTTCACTGCAACCACGACAAATTGGGTCTGTTACCACTCCTATCGTATGTAAATGTTTGTTAAACTGGTAATGTCCCGTAAGGGATCCTACCAGTTTACGCAATTTGTCCCTTGAAAGTGAAAGATAAAATTTCGTCAACTTACGGTCTGGTGTCGCTATACAAGCTGCACTCTGCCAACAACTGCTCAGCGTCGTACATATTTGCTCATGGCGTCTATGGCTTTACGAGTTCTTTCGAGAGGGCGACCGAAGGCGTGATTGCGGGTTGGGGTTCCCAGAAGGGGATGCACTCAGCTCGCTTCGCCATCTCATTTGCCCTCTCGTTTCCTTCGTTGCCACTGTGTCCTTTGATCCAACAAAGTTCTACACTATTCCTCTACGTTACATACCTTAGCGTTTGTCTGCACTCCCAAACCAGCCCGGATCAAACCATACAGCTGTTCAGGACTAGTAAGACTTGCTGTCAGTAAGTGTTTTTTGTCTAGCTCTGAGCCACCAAATTAAAGGTCCGTAGCACAGCATCGGTCTGACTATTGACTATTACTGTGTAAATTCAGAGGCCGATTTTGGGGTTTAAACTCTGCAGGTTAATCTGGATGAAATTTATCTGCCGCAGCGCCATCTCTGCAACCAAAAATCTGATACTTATCTTAGGAGACAGGAGGCTTATGTCTCAGGCGGGCCCGCCCCCACTGGCAGAGGCTTCATCTGGCTGGGGTTTCTACCTCTTCCTGAGTCGACACCTCGTTCTTCTTAAGTTTCAGGTTGAAAGAGGCCAGCATATAGTTGATCCTGCCCTCTCTCTCCCTGATTGTTTTGGCCTCATCCATCCCAAGATTTTTTTGCTAACTCAAATATACAAACCTTTTGGAAAAATGGTCCTTTCATTCGAATGGCGTAAGGGCAAGCTCTACCTTTGTAAATCTCTGTATTTAGTCAGTCAAATTGTATCAAAATGTACTCAAAACAGTGTTGATCTAATTAAAGTGACGATAATTAGAGGAACTACAATTACAAAAAACTATAATCCGTAAAGTTAATAACGCATTATTAATTAATTACTCTTGTCCCAGTCATAACGCAGCTAACGTCCAAAAAAGAATTTTCTCCCAAGTTTCTGTCACAGCCCCGATCGTATAGAACAAATATTCACGAGTGTATTTCAAGTGGGCTATAATCTATGTCTATACTACGACCCGACTGCGTCAACTGAATTGTGGGTCGCGTAAAACATGAATTGTCGTTATGGTACCTTTTGTGTTGTGAAATTCTGTTCGTAAAATTAGAACAGGTTCTATTTTTCCTAACGCATAATGGGCCATAATGGCAATTCATGTATTATACGACCCACAATTTTGTCTACAAATTTACTGCCACAATTCTGGCTATAATTATTTATGGTAAAACGGCAAATATAAATTGTCTCTACCAACTGTTTTTATAGCGCCCTGAATTTAAAATTTAAGAGACGCATTTAAAACTTTAAAATCAAGAAAATCTTTCGATAGCGTAGGCGACAATACATTTGTAGAGGAATGTCCGCTTCATTGTGATGATTGCTTTTTATGACAATTTCTTTCTTTTTTTGGTGTGTTTAAATCTATGATATCCAAATATCTATTTGGATGAATTTATAACATCTGATTTCATTTTTGGAAGCTGGAGAGGCTTTTTACAGCGAGTTTCACAGATTTTCCCTCTCTAGAATAGAGGAATAAACAATTTGTCCTCCATATTTTGCATTTTGATGTAAGGGCATTTTTCGGTTGGACTTCGCCAACAGAAATAATGACACAACGTAGGGTTCCACTTTGTTGACGATCACATTTTAAATTTTTCGCGGGTTTTAAATGTTGTTTAAAATACTTGATTCAAAAAAAATATTTTCGACTTTACCGAAGTCATTACATTGTCGGTAGGATGACTAGACAAATTTTGGTCTGTGTTTTACCATCTACACGATATCACTAAATTGCACATAAAATTTGACAATAAGTAGACGATCGATTGACAGAAACGGGAGACCCAATTTTTCATAGTCTAGGGGCCATGACCTGTCGAAAAAACTTGGGGCTAGCCAATCGCCCGATGAACGCTATCACAAAATTTCCTTAGCTTACGCTCGGGAAGTAAAAAACGTTGCGCAGTGACCATGAACTGTTTGCCAGTCTCAATTTCAAACCCAAATTATTTTACCTTGTTAACAATAGTCACACAATGTTGGTGGTTTTTCTCGTCCTAGTGTTAACAGGTAAGTGTTCGGTGCTTTTATTTGAAAATAACACACCAAAATAGGTCGTACTTTCAGTACTTTCAGTGACAATTTCAACGACATCAATGCAATCGCCACTGAAGAAAAAGTTGCTGAAATTGAAACTTTCATTACAGACAAGTGCGCCAATAACGGCGCCAACGTAACATTTTCTTCTTTAATGGTACGTTTCTAATTCGTAGTACCAATACTATTTTTATTTTATTTTTTTTTAGAGTGTGGCATTTGAACTCAAGGATTGTATCGAAACTTACTTCAATGTTACCAAAGTACAACAAGAACTTGAGAAAGCAAAAATAAACGGTAGTCTGGACGAAGTTACAATGCGGTACTGCACGAGGTACCCTCAAATTTACGAATGTTTGAAAAATGCGTCTGATGTTGTACAACCGTGCTTAAATTCCACCGAACAAGAATTAGTTAAAAATAGTTTAAAGCTTATGGTATATTTAAAAAAATATATATGTTTCAAGGACGGGACACGGATTGCTAGTGAGTTGCTACTTAATCATTTTTTTTTAAATTAGGTAATCGCGTGTGGGTAATAATAATGAAACACATAATTTGTTGTAGTGTTTATTGCAGCTGGAGGCCTTGAATGTATGGACTTGCAAAAAGAACAACTACAGGAATGTATCGGTAATGTAACTGGGCATAGTATAGAGTCTTTAGGTGCTATGCTGCAGTTAGTTTCTTCTCATAGTGAAAAGGGATGCGAGTATGTTAAATTGTATTAAAAAGTTGCAATTTTTTCGAAACTGAGCATTTTTAGATCATTGATGAAAATTCGGTCTTGTTTCTACCATGAACTAAATATGTGTGAAGAAACGATTCCTGCTAATATCGTTGAAGCTACATTTAAGTTTTTCAAAAAAGAGTTTTCTTGTAAAGGAAACAATCCAACTGTTTACAAAGACAATGACAATATCACTCTAAGAATTGTTGTTTTGTCTGTAATCCTTGTTGTAGCGATTGTTATTTGTTATTTTTTGGCTAAGTAGTAATTGATTTTGTCCTATTCGTCATTTTCGATTGTTGTTGACACTGATACATAAATTATACGTATTGTTTTTATTCTTATCAAATTCTTAATCACCCTTTGTTTGAATTCTGAATAATTTGTGTCAATTTTGTAGGTATTTGAAAGGTCTTGTCTGCACCTAAATTCTGTAAAAGGTGTAAGTCTGTGAATATATTTGTGAAGTAAGTTCTCCCATATATTTTTTCTTATGTACTTAGATATTTTTAGAGTTTTATTTAATACGATTAGTATGTCACCTTCGGTCAGAGTAACGTCAGAACACGTCAGTGATTTTGACATTTGAACTGTTATGTTATGAAAGATGCGGAATAAATCAGCGCCAGGAAGTATTTAACTTTTCGATTACTGTTTCACTCTTTATTGAAAAATACACTCCCCCTGTGGAACACGCTAGTCTATATTTGACAGATTTTTGTTAAATCCTCAAGGAAAATCGATAACACACCCGTAAACATTTATAATCACTCTGTATATCAACCGCAGATTAGGCAGCAACTTATGTAACCAACAATACACGTGGATTCTTGACGCCATATTGAATCAAACGTCACTTTGACAAGTAGTCAATAATGTCGTGAAGTGTTGAAGTTGTTGTAAAGATAACCGTAAATAAAGAAATTACAAACATTTTGGTTGTGTAAAAAGAACTTTTCGTCATAAATGTGATTAAATAAAAAAACAACGTAAGCAAGCAAGCGCGATTTTTTTTTTGTTTTGTTACTCATACACACTCAAAAACACAACTTTGCTTGGAAATTGTCTTTAAAAATAAGCACCAAGTGTGGATAACCTTCCCAACACATGCAGCAATCAGTTCTTCTGGCACATACCCCTTTAGCAACCAGGACACATTTAGCCCCCCGACAAACGTGGAATTGAATTTTCATCTAACCTTATTTTATTTTTTTTGTTTTTAGTTCATTTTGGACTAGGCTTTGCAGACCCCAAACTGTCCCTAGTTTTGTTTTTTGTTGCACGTAGTTTTAGTAGATTTGTTTCTATTATTTTTTTGGTTTGATGCCCCACTTGATATTCCCTTAATATGGTCCGACACTGGTGATTATTTTAACTTATCACGTCATGATAAGCGTCATTAACAGTTTCCTCTTCAGACTCTTTAAAATTGCCTCTTCCGCCTAATTGTGGCGAATGACGTCCACAAGTTTTTAAAATTCTGGCTATTATTTAATTTCTTCCACAATAACGTGCAGATTTGCGAAATATGCAAAATGATACCGTAACATACACCCTTAAATGTGTTAAATAATGATTTCATGTTGAAAATATGTGTAACAACACGTGTTTCTTGTGTTTATAGTTCGTCTATTGTGAAGTCATACTTTCTGGGCTCCTTTTGTGGTAAATCTAAGTTAATACAGACCAATGCTTTTTTAACTACGCAAGTTTTATGTGTAAAACACTAATTTATTAATATTTTCGTCCGTGGAGTTCAAATAAATCTTCCTCATATTTATCCATCTTAACTGCGTAAGTGTTCAGTAAACGAAATACATATTTTTGTGGAAGTGACGAAGACTAATCTAGGTGTAACAATGGAATTAATTGTAAATCTGAGGAGTTTTTGTTTGCGGCTTGTACTTTATAAATAACTACGAGGGCGTTTTATTTGAACACTTGTTACATGACCTTTTGTTATCTAATCGTCCAAGTTTTGCATTTTTTAACTTTGATTAAAGTGCATGTTTGTGTTAACAAAGAAAATCGCTCTGTTGTAAGAGCGTGGTAGTAAAATCACGGGATAAAAATGTATTTGCTTTTTGACGAGACTTTAGTGGCATAAAGTGCACTGCAAAAGTAAGGAATTTAAAGCAACGTTTAGAATTTCGTTACTACGAAGTTAAAATGTAGTGGAGATTATTCTCAAACTACCACCAAAAATAAAAAAGTTTAGAAAAATTTTGCTACAACATAGGCGTCGGTATGTATTTGCTAACAATTTTACAAATCCTGACCTTTTGTAACCTATGTATATATATATAAATTTTCTAGATTAAAAAAAATATTAAATGCAAATACGATTGTTTATTCCGTAGAAAAATTTCCCACTTTCATATAAATGGAAACTAATGCAAAGTTCAAGTGAGATCGATTTTGAATTTCCCTTATTTCGGAAGTAAAACCAGTAGCACGTTAGCAAAGCATGTTTCTAATTTTCGGTAAAATAGTTCATTACAAGATTTGTTTTGTTGATATTTAAAACAAGCTAAGCTGGATTTAAAATTGTGCACTTGGAATAATATTGCTAAGCAAATTCTTGAAATGACGTCATGAACTCCTCAGTGAGTGAAATGGAAAGATTTATTTAATATTTTTTGGATGACGTCTTCAACTCTTGAATGGAGATAACTGTATTAATTTTGATATGAACAACATCCATGTTTTTACCATATTCTATTTATATTTTAAGACACATTAAAAAAAGTTTAATAATGAAATTAGTGTGGGTGTTTTCGAAATAATAAACGTCTTTTTTCCTTTATGTATGTTGTGTGTTTTAGAATAATTCGTTGAGTTAACAAAGAACAAAAATGAAATGACGTCATACATTTTTTGGAGGAAAGAAACCGACAAATTTCGGTTTATCACGTTTACGATAATTTTAATGTAAACCTAAAATTCCGAAATAGTTGATTTGGTTTGTTGGAAATCATTTATCTGGAACAATAGGTAGAATACAGAAACGAAAAACTTGCAATTTATATCCTGAGCTACACAAATACATAAAAGGTTTGTCTAAATAGCTCTTTTACTACTTGTACTTGGTGTTTTTACGTAAGGAAAGTCACGATATGTATCAATTTTTGGTTACAATATCAAACTTTGAATAACAATATCATCCTTATTATAGTACAATTTCTGGTATTCGTTTCCAAAATTTTTATATTATAAGATCATAAATTTTATCATATTTAACTTTGGCTGTGTTAAAGAAAAGACACATTTTTTCACGCTTCTGTTTGTATGACCCAGGTTCCTACTTTCGGACTACCTGACTGAGATCCTTTTTCAATTAAGTTCCTATATTTTCCAAAATTTATTTTGTGAACAAAATTATAGTCCTCGTGTTTGATATTTTAAAGTGTATTTCTGTGACTAGATTCCATTTGTTTATACAGGGTGATCAAAAATGGCGCAGTTTTTGATTACCTTGTGGATTCTTTCTCTTTGACAAAATGTTTTCTTCTTTTTTGAAAATAATCTTTAAAAAATAACTTGCCCATAAATGATTTCTAAGTTTGACATATCAAAGCATGCTCGTCAAGTGTATCTTTTCTTATTGAGATTTTGGCTTCTTATTCCAACTGGAAAGTGAAAAAATGCAACAACGCAAGATACAACAAAGGAACGTAATTGTCATTATGCAGCAACCATGGAAAAAGTGCTAAATAAGGTTGGTTCCTGAAAAAGAAATGGCTCGACCTTAACTATTCTATATATAGTCGAGGAAATTAATGTTGAGTTTAATCAGTAGTTTTTCATTGTCAGACCACTGAACTCGTCATACAGTTTTTGCAACTTTATTTTCATGTTCCTTATTTTTTACTGCATTGTTCTGTAAATTTAGTGGATTTACTTTTAGGTATTTTTTCTACTGTCACACGTTGGCCACGTGTATCTGGAAGATAAAACCTTAACACCTGCTGTGAAGCTGTCAAAGGAAAATAGCCAACAATTTTATGATCGGGAAGACATAGTTTATCGATACTAACCACACCGTAAAATAATAAGTGACGTTTATTGTTACGTGAGGAGTAAAATAAACGTTTAATTATTTAAATGTTTTATTGAAGCCTTTAGTTAAAGTTGTAACAAACAGTCGCTCATACGTATGTCAAATTCTGGATCTCGAATTCAGTTTTTATCAACTGAGATGAAAAATCTAAATCTGCTGTGTCTGATGCTGCTAATAGGTGAGTCCACACTAGAAGGTGTTAAATTATAGCCCATCTTTACTGGTAACAAAGGATAGTACTTTTTTCTTATAAGTTGACACTTTGAAGCATGAGCCGCACACGAACACTACGATTTCTACCAGTAAGAAATGAGTACTCCAGGACTAGTTTTATCATCTCAAGCATGTTACTACTAGCAATTGTTTTGTTTAATTGTGTGAACATTTTCAGGGTTCGGAGTGTGTCTAATCAATGATTTCGATACAGAAGAGATTGAAAACCTCATCAAAGAAAAATGTGAGAACAATGGTGCAGGCGAAGAGGCTTTCGAAGCATTCATGGTTGGTAAAATATAGGAAACGTGATTAGCAGAAGTAATGTTTTTTTATTTAGAGTTCTTATTTTTGTGACAACTGTTATGGGTTTATGTTCTTCTGTGCTTGTTTTATCACACTTTCAAAGGCTTTATGTTCAGTCGTGTAAAGTAATTAAAAAAAAAAAATTAAAAAGTGAAATATTTGACTTTTAAAATTTTTACTTTATTAGTCAAATGTACTGAATATTTTTGAAAGAAGAAGGATTATACTGTGTTTGTATTGTTAATGAAAAAAATGTGAAAACACTTTTACGTTTTGGCGATTTGTGGAAAATCTCAACACTCAAAATGTAGCAACCTAGATCTAATATTCTTCTAGGACCAACAATCGGATCTCCCAACGTGCCTCGGAGACCACATAAACGTGAAAATATTCCAAGATGAACTCGAAGAATCGAAAAAAAGAGGCGCCATGGACGAAGTATTCGGCAAGTATTGTCGAAAATATCCCGAAATCTACACCTGCATAGAAGCCGTAACCGACAAACTAAAACCATGCCTGGACTCAAAAGAGGAAGAAACTATGAATAAAACGCTCCAAATCGTTGGTACTTTAAAGGACTTTATTTGTCGCAACGATGGCGACTTCCTTGCTTGTACGTATTCTACCACTAATTACACACTAATGACCACTATTTTTCAGTGTTTATAGCAGAACATGGCGTTGAATGTTTCAAGTCGCGGAAAGAGCAACTACAAGAGTGTGTTAATAAGACTATCGGGGCAAAAAATCCCACAGACTTGTCAGTTAACAGTTTGTCTATGTTTTTGATCACTGACAAGGAGTGCAAGTGAGTTGATTCGTGCGTGGATTAAAACCCCATTCATTCTCTTTTGGTTGCAGTGATTTCGACAAAGTCGGAAAATGCATTGTCAAAGAACTAGAAATGTGCGAAAATAGCACACCGGCGAACGTCGCCTGGTCGTTGTTTAGGTTTCTGAAGAACTATATGCCTTGTCGAAAAAACGTCAAAAGTTCTACATCTGCCACCACTGTCACTTTGTTTGTTGTAGGGTTCTCGTTTCTCTTTTCTAAGTTCTTGTGATGTAGGTTAAGGAGGTGTGCATTTGGTTTAGTTTTATTTATTTGTGCGCTGATTCTATGGCTTTAGCCCAGTTTTGGTGGTGTGTGATGAGTGCTTGCGTACAATAGGTACTCTAGATTGTTACAAAAATGATAATATATTTTTATATGAGTTGTTGTAATTAATCGTAATTGTATATTACGTGTCACAAATGGCAGAAGTGGAACCAACGACTGAAGACTGGACCACAAACTTTTCAACTATGCTCCATAAACTTGAAAATTGTGTAAATTGAATACTCGTTATCGGCTTATTAGTGACGTTAATGCAATTAGTTACAACATTTGCGGCAGAATTATTTCGGGACGAAATACATTTGGTTCAAAAGAACTATTACATAGTTGGTTGTAGATATTTAAAATTTACACTTTGATAATTAATAATAAATAACAATTAGGATAAAGTATTATAAAAATATGTTTTTGATACAAACTCTTGTAAGTTAACATTACCAAAGATAAATTCCACCAACGTTGGTTAACTTTGCTTCATGAATATACCATATAATAATATTTTAACAGTACTGCATATACTTGGTTGATATTTTGTGGAATAACGTTAACAATCGTTGATGAAACAATGTAAATAAACGTACTTAAAAGGGAGAGGTTTGAGTTTGCTCTTAGACAAAAATAATAATTTTCTTTAGTATAATATTTCACGGACAATTAAACAATTAAAAAATACTGATGGTAGATAATAAATCCCCGTACATAATAGACTTAGCTTTGTCACTTTGTATTTTTTACATTATCTGAAAAATAGAAACATTTATTATAACAAGGAAATTTTACTTTTACTTTTAGATGAGGCATACATAACCTAAATTGGATCTTACATGTACCAATGCATGTACTTAAGTTCATACTTCTTGCTTGAAAATCATTTAAAGCAATTTTAACTGTGTGTAAGCCACTACAAAAATTTGAGAATTCTTTAGTGTGTGGATGTTTTTGGTATGGATTTATTTATGTACACATATTTACAACGAATGACACTTAAGCAACGTGGTTGTGTTGGAACTCTGCGGCGACGAGGAGCGCGGTGTTCTTGTGATCTTGCTGCTTTTGTGGACGATGGCGGAGAGAGCGAGTTGTGCTTCCATCAGGCCTTTTCTAGTCTCGCTTCTCGTTTTCGCTTCTGCGTGGTACGCCAGCCAATTAGCGGTGTTCTTTGCAGGCGTACGGTTGGTTGCCTATAGCGCAGGCAACTTGCTCGCCACAGTACCCCCTCTCCAGTGACGTCGTCACGGGTCATTGGTCTCTAAAACGGACTGGTGTTTTAGTTTGTCGTCCTGCTCTTGTTGTTCTGCGACTGATTGTGGGTTCTGGCTGCGTTGTTGTTTGTAAAATTGGCGGTTCGGCTTCTTGTGGAAGGAATGCTGGTTTGACTCTCTCGATGTTGACAGTTGTTGGCTTGCCTCGTACAACAATGGTTAGCGTTTTTCCCCTTCGAGATGTTACTGGGTGTGGTCCGCTGTATGGTTGTTGCAGCGGTCTTCGTACTGCGTCGTCGCGTAGAAATACGTGGCTGCATGTATCCAGCTCTGGGTGGACAAATGTGCGTCGCCTGTCATGGTGTGAAGCTGGGACTGGTCGTAGTTGTTCCATTTGTAGCTTCAACTTCTCTACGAATGTGAATGGTTCAGCTGAGACATCGTTTGTCGTAAAGAAGAACTCTCCCGGAATACTAAGCTGGGTACCGTACGTCATCTCTGCTGGCGAACATTTCAGGTCGTCCTTAATGGCGGTACGTAGGCCCAGGAGTACAGTTGGAAGTGAGTCAACCCAGTTCTCATTCTCTTGGCACATTATCGCAGCTTTCATTGTCCTGTGCCACCTCTCGATGAGGCCATTACTCTGTGGCCGGTATGGTGTTGTTCGGCAACGTTTAATTCCCAACAGGTTCATCAAACTCGTCGTGATGGCTGCCTCGAACTGCCTTCCTTGGTCTGTCGTTATTCGTCGCGGACATCCAAAACGCGCGATCCAGGATGCGTATAGTGTCTTGACCACGGTGTCAGCAGTCATGTCTTCCATGGGGGCGACTTCGGGCCATCGAGTAAATCGGTCGGACATGGTCAGACAGTATCGATATCCCTGGCATGTGGGCAGTGGACCGACGATGTCTACGTGGATGTGTTCGAATCGTTGGTCTGTCGGGTCAAAGGAATTAAAAGGAGTTTTTACATGACGGCTTACCTTGGATTTTTGGCAAGCTAGGCATGTTCGAGCCCACTGTTTAATGTCTCGCTCCATCCGGGGCCATACGAACTTGGTTTTGATGGGTTTGTACGTGGCTTTTCCGCTTGGGTGGGAAAAACTGTGGTACTTGTCGAAAACCCTTCGGCGAAAACGGGGTGGTATGTATGGCCGAATGTTCGTGGTTGATATGTCGCACCATATGGGTACCTCAGAATCTGTGGGAGTGAGCTTCCTAAGCTGGAGGCCTGTCGTTGGAGTTTTTCGTAACTCGAGGAATTCTGGGTCAGTCTCTTGTTCGTTCTCTAGGTCTCGAGGTTCTATTATTGTTGGAGTGGTGATTTCGTCGATTCGGGACAGGGAATCCGCGACAAGGTTCTGGTCACCTGTCACGTGAGTGATCTCAGTCGAAAATTGTCCAATAAAATCCAAATGTCGCAGTTGTCGGGGTGACGCCTTGCTGGATTTTTGGTGAAATGCGTACACCAGCGGTTTGTGGTCAGTTCTAATTGAGAAATTTCTGCCTTCAACCATGTGCCGGAAAAATTTGATCGCTTCATAAACTGCCAGTAGTTCGCGGTCGTAGGTGCTGTAGTTTCGTTGAGCTGGGTTCAGTTTTTTTGAGAAAAACCCTAATGGCTGCCATGTTTGCTCAACTTCCTGTTCAAGTACAGCTCCAATAGCTACATCTGACGCGTCGGTGGTTAGTCTCAAGGGAGCGTAATCGGCGGGGTGTACCAACAGTGTAGCTCTAGCCAACTCTCCTTTGCATCGCTCAAAAACCGCTTCTGTTTCTGGAGTCCATTGTATCGGCGTCTTGTCGTTCTTCTTGTCGCCCTTCAGGTACGCGTGCAGGGGTGCCTGTGCTTCAGCCGCCTTCTTTAGAAATCTTCGATAGAAATTTAGCATACCCAGGAAACGTCGAAGATCTTTGACAGTTTTAGGTTTCGGAAACTGTTGCATGGCTGAGATTTTGCTTGCTAGGGGCTGAGTTCCTCTTGCCGTGATGGTGTGCCCTAAATATTCAACCTCGGGGGCGCCCAGCACACACTTTGCCGGATTGACTACAATGTGATGCTGTTGTAAACGCCGGAAAAGGATTTCTAAATGTTGTAAGTGTTCAGTTTCGTCACTTGAATATACCAGAATGTCGTCAATGTAACTGAAACAGAAATCCAAATCACTTAGAACGGAATTTAAGTGTCGTTGGAAAGTCTGAGCCGCATTTCGCAGACCGAATGTCATTACGGTAAACTCAAACAATCCAAACGGGGTGCACACTGCGGTCTTTGGTATATCCTCCTCAGCTACTGGGATTTGGTGGTAGGCCCGTACTAAATCGATGGTCGAAAAGACTCGTTTTCCCTCCAGTCGGAACGAGAAATCCTGAATGTGAGGGATCGGGTAGCTGTCTGGCACAGTGACACTGTTCAGGCGCCTGTAATCCCCACAGGGGCGCCATTCGCCAGGCTGCTTTTTCTTCACCAAGTGTAGCGGACTGGCCCAAGGACTTTTTGACGGTCGGCACCAACCTTGCTCCATCATGAACTGGAACTCCATTTTTGCCACTTTTAATTTGTCTGGCGACAGTCGTCGGGGAGTTTCAGCGATTGGAGGTCCCGAAGTGAAAATGTGATGGGCCGTATTCGTTCCAGGAATTGTGCCTGGTGGTCGAGGGCGTGTGATTTCGGGGAATTTCGCTAGCAACTCGTGGTACGGCGAAGTTTTGGCCACGGTTGAAATATTGGGTGGTGTGCACGGTGCGAGAATTCCTGATGTGGACAGCAGTGTCGATGCATCAATAAGTTTTCGATTGCGTAGATCGGGGAGCAAATGGTAGTGGTTGAGAAAGTCCGCGCCGATAATGGGTTTGCTGACGTCTGCGATTATGAATACCCATTTCAGCGGTCTTCGGAGTTTGAAGTCGAGCAACATTAGCTTGCGGCCGTACGTCCGAATTTGGCTGTTGTTTGCTGCAAAAAGCACCGTTTCAGTGGGGCATGGACGTTGCTTACCTGAAAAGGCTTTTGGAATGACTGAAATCTCGGCTCCGGTGTCGATTAGGAATTGGATTCCGCTGCTCGGGTCCGTTACAAAAAGGCGATATTGCTGCTGTTTTGTACCGTCGTGCACCGCCTCGAGTGCCGACGGGGAAATCAGTTTCCCGAATAGTTGCAGGGCTGGTGGCACTTCCGGGCTTTTTCGCCGAATGTCTCATGGTAATAACATAACCCCTTATTCTCGTTGACACGTGTCCGGCTTCTCGAGTTCGAGCGGTGACGTCCGTTGCGGCCATATTTGTTTGTATTATAGCCGCGTCCTCTGTCGGTAACTAGGCGTTCTACGGTTGCCGTCAATGTCGCGATCTGCTTTTGCATGGCTTCCAATTCCAGGGCGGCCTTAGCGTCTGCGAGTTCCTTTTCGAGTTGGGCGATTCGTTCAGCGTTCGTCATGATGTTGCTTGTCAATCGGTGCCTGTTCTGTGTTGTTGCGTTTTCTTCTTTCGTCGAGGGTCACCAGTTGTGGATGTTTTTGGTATGGATTTATTTATGTACACATATTTACAACGAATGACACTTAAGCAACGTGGTTGTGTTGGAACTCTGCGGCGACGAGGAGCGCGGTGTTCTTGTGATCTTGCTGCTTTTGTGGACGATGGCGGAGAGAGCGAGTTGTGCTTCCATCAGGCCTTTTCTAGTCTCGCTTCTCGTTTTCGCTTCTGCGTGGTACGCCAGCCAATTAGCGGTGTTCTTTGCAGGCGTACGGTTGGTTGCCTATAGCGCAGGCAACTTGCTCGCCACAAGTGTAAACAAAAACGAGGAAAACTAATTACTATAGATTTTTGTAGATTAGTGATGGTTATTTTTGCGTAATAAAGTTATTTTGCGACAGAGAGTTGCGATAGGAACAGGTGTGTAAACAGTTCATACTATTTTATATCCATAATGTTTTTGCTGCTATCGGCGACGTGTTGCAATATAGACAAATAAGTATATCTAAGAAAATTAAAAACCCAATTTAAATAAGTAGGTATTTGTGTTAAATTAATTTTTGTGTCAAGGAGACAAAACTAATCCCTGTCCGGGGCCAGGGTAGAATAGTCCCGGGGTCGTCCCCACCTGTCGTAAAAGGCGACTAACGGGGAAACGGGACTGGCTGTGAAGGTATCAGACAGTGATAACTTTAACGATTTAATTGCAAGAACAAAGTAATTTTAATATTATCAGGTAAAATTCTTGACACTTAACTAGTGCGTGAGTAACTACATAATACTACGCTCACTATGGAGAAATTAAACTAGTATTTTTTAACGACTGTCGTAACTACAATTAAACCGTACTACCTTGGATAAAACAACTGCATGAGCATAAAACGCAACATGTATGTGATCTTCGTCGTCGCACTGTTAATTGGTAAGTGCACAAAAGTACTTTTCGAAACTAACTTATGTATTAGGCGGTACTTTTAGTACTTCCAGCCTTAATTTTAACCTAGATCTAGACCTTAACAACGAATTCACCAATTCTAAAGATGAGCTTGAGACTTTTATTAACGACAAATGCAACGAAAATGGCGCCAACACAACATTTTCTTTTTTAATGGTACGTGTACTTCATAGTACTGTAACTATTTCCGACCTTTTTTTAAGAATACGACATTCGAACTCAACATGTGTACCCAGACACACTTTAATATTGCAGAAGTACAACACGAATTAAATATTGCGAGAACAAATGGCACTATGGACGAAGTTGTACTAAAGTACTGCTTGAGGTACCCTCAGATTGATAAGTGTTTAAGAAAGGGATACGATGCTGTAAAAACGTGCTTAAACTCCACGGAACAAGCGATTGTTCAGGAAAGTTTAAAGTTTGCCGGGGATCTAATAAAACAAATGTGCCTCAAGGACGGAACTCGACTTGCTAGTAAGTTTTTATTTGCGTTTTTCTAAATCTACGGTAATTAACCTTTGAACCAGTGTATGTAAATTACTTTGTTAGTGTTTATCGGTTACGAAGGAGTCGAATGTCTCAATGTGCAAAAAGAACACCTTCAAGAATGCGTAATGGATTCTGTTGGTAACAATACAGAATATGTTGTTATTTTACACCAACTATTTGTTTCTAACGATGACAACCAAAGATGCAAGTATGTTAAAGTCTTACACTAGATTGTGCTTGAAATTGTTTTTAGGTCGTTCACGAGGATTCGGTCTTGTTTCTATGAACAACTGAGCAAATGCGAGAAAAGTATTCCTGCTAATATAATTGACGGCATTTTCAAAGTCTTCAGAAGAGATTGGTCGTGCGAAGTCAATTATCAGACCAGATCTGGATATAGAAATGATATTTTTATTAGAATTGTTGTGACATTTGTAATCATTTTGGTCGCCTGTTATGTATGTTATATTTTGGCTAAGCAGTAATTCGAAACCAATTTTTTTTGGGTTTTATCTGCTATAAATATTTAATAAATTAATAAAACTGTATGACGTGGTGTAGGCTTAAGGGTACCACGAAAGAACGACCAGCACCACACGCAAATTTTGACAAGTATATTTTATTGGCTGAAGCATGGGTCTTCAAGTGTTTACATTTTAAACTTTTTATTAACCATACTTACAACCGTCTATGTTGTTTATACAGGATGTTTTATTTGAAATGATCAAAGTAAGCGCCTCAGAATATATATAGAAATAAAATCACTTACTGTTATTATAAATTAGCGCAGCAACGAGAACAATTTTTTTAAATTAATCGCTTCCTTTTGACCGTTTCAAATCCCCGCCACTGCACGTTCCGTCAACACAAATCGATCCATCTGACGTCACGTAAGTCTCGTTCCGCTACGTGCCGCCATGGACGCAGACATTGACGCACGCTTAGTAACAATGGAAGAAATTCTCATTGAAGCCGTACGCCAACGACCTTCAATCTACGACAAAACGAAAGCTGTTTACAGAAGTACTAGAATTCGCGAACAAGAATGGCAAGAAGTAGCTCAAGCTGTCAACGTCGCAGGTGAGAAGATTTCTACCCAGTGGCAGCCATAACACGCACTTTGTAGATGCCGAGGTCGTGAAAAAACGCTGGCGTTCGTTGCGCGATTCGTTCATTAAAATACAGAGATCGCTCAAACACAATCCCGGGCAGGTGATCAAGTGGGTATACTACAAGAGGCTGATGTTTCTGATACCTCATATCGAGTCGAAGGAGTAAGTGGGCGTGGTACTTCCGTATGGGTGGAGCTTAGGTATTCTCTAACTGGCTCCTCCTCATTTTCAGAATCTCAGCAGATGGAACTTTTAAAACGGACGATGAGGAAACTCAGGATACGTCACATGTTGACTGTGAATCAGATATTGGAATTGACTTTTTAAAAAAGTTAGAGGCTTCTGATTTATTGGGTAATAGAGCGAAGAAAAAACACGTGGAGGAGGATCCATTGTCGCCTGATATTTTTGTAAAGAAAAAGAAACACAGTGATGAATGTCGTACTTCAAACGTGACAGAAATGGACGCTGATGAGCAGTTCTTGTTGAGTTGCTTGCCAGCGTTGAAGAGGTTGCGGCCTAGAGATAACGCGATAGCAAGGATGAGGATTCAACAAGTTTTGTTTGATGTTGAGTTTGGAGAAGAGGAGCAAAGCGAGGAAGTTGTGACTAAAGTGGAAGAAGATGACTGAAGTTTGGGTTTATTTTTTAGGTTGTTAGATTTTGTAAATTTAAAGTTATAGAAAAAAAAAATGTTGTTTTATTTGACACCAAGCGATGATGCTGTTTAGTAAATACTGAGGAACATATTTTAATTAAAACTATTTATTTACTTGATACATAAATACAGCGGCGTTCATAAGGGGGCTAAGGGGACGGTCGCTTTCATTGAGAATTTTGCATCAATTTCCTGATAAAAGTCGAGGCAACTACGTTACTAATGACATCGTTTCTTTACCAACAGTCAGGCGCGGATCCAGGGGGGGGGGGCAATGGGTGCAATTGCCCCCCCCTGACACACGACCGAGGTACTTTATTTTGACCAATTTCAAAATTTTGAAATCATATTTCATTTTGTAAATACAGTACAACCTCTATAATCCGAACTCACGATTGTCTCAACATCCAGTAATCCGAACAGAGGCTATTTGAAGTCGATGCCTCTTTAATCCGAACAAAAACTCTGCAATCCGAACTGAACTTGAAAACATGCATCTACTTCCAAAAATGACGCAAGATCTTTCTGCATATGTTGTATGGAATATTTTGAAATTTTTAAAAATTGCGATATTTCAAAGCACTGAATTAATTAACTAATTCTGGAGAAACGGATGAAGTTATCGGAGACCCGAAATCTACAAGAGAAAGGATTTGGTTAAATTTCGAAAATCGTCGAAAATGGGTCGAAATTTGCATGAGAAAAATTTCATTTTTGAAAAATTTTCCTAAAAATTCTGAAAAAATTCATGGATATATATCCCGACGTGCTGATTCCAAAAATATACCATGTTTATGGTAACGGAGCAATATTTTCGGAAAGTTCGCTGTGAAATTCAAATTTTTCGAAATTTTTAAAAATTGCGATATTTCAACTGGACGATTCTGGAAAAATGGTTTAAGTTATCGAAGAAATGAAGCCAGAAGTGACTTCTGAGGTCCAAAATCTACAAGAAAATATATTTAGTTAAATTTCGAAAATCGTCGAGAATGGTTCGAAATTTGCATAATGGATGTAATACGAATACATAATGGAAAATTTCATTTTTGAAAAATTCATCTAAAAATTCTGAAAAATTTCAGGGTATAGATCCCGGGGTGTTATTTATTTCAAAAAGATAGCGTGTTTATGGCCACGGAGTAATATTTTTTTAGAATGTATCTATTATCCATTGTTGCTTAAGAATTCTTTAATTTTTGTTTAATAAAATTTAGGTTTATTTCTTGAAGTTTGTTTTCAGTTGTGTATGAAGTTGTTATTCAATTGCCTTTCAGACTTATGCGAAAATTGCTGAACCGAACAAATCGTTAATCCGAACACACTTTTTTCCCAATTAGGAATTAGGTTTATCGAGGTTCTACTGTACACTATACGTGTAATGAAAAGAACCAAATGTCACCCATGTTATGTGAAAAAGAGTATACTAGCTAAAATTTTATAAATTTTTTTCGTTTAGAACGAATTTCTGGTAGATAGGTAAAATCACACAAAAATTGCCCCCCCCCCTGAACGAAATCCTGTATCCGCGCCTGCCAACAGTACATCAGTAATGACGAGCAAAAATCAGCCTTTGCAGCTGATGTTAAGTTAGTGTTTTGTGGCATTACGTTGGCCCTACTGACAGTAAAACCTAGGCTAAGTACCATCGGTTTATGCATTTGACAGTTACGCTGTTGTTAATTTTCGAAGCAGAGGTCGGTGACGAAAAACTTGATAGTAGGGGTAATCAACAATTTCAAGAAAAATTGGTCGAAGGTTGTTTCGAGAGAACTTCTCTCGCCCCTGAAGTACAATCAAACATATCCGCGCATTTTTGAAAAAAATATAAAATTTGATTTTGCGAATTTGTAAAGAAGCTTGCGACGCGCGTGTTTCAAATGAGTTTTTACTTTACAAAATTTTGCGATGATGTCATCAACGTCATCTGAACAGGATACAAAGCAACCAGATTATTTTTCACTGCCTTGTAAAGTTCCACTTGTTTAGGAGTCCGGTCACAGGATACTGCTAGTGCAGAGTATTTATCATTTGTTTTTAAAGTTTTGAACTTTCGGACAATATTATGCACAATTTCAAGGGATGAGGAGTGAACTTTAATTGGGCGTGACAAGGGCTGTCTGCTGCGATCAAACTTTCCTGATCTTTAAAGTTTAAAACACTGAGAATCTGATTTAAAAATAATAATATTGAAATGGAACTCCGACGATTGTGTCTTCTGCTGGGCCGGAAAACTGAATAAGTCCAACGAGGTAACTGCTTCACTCGAGTTATACTACCAAAATGCAAAAGGTTAAACTCTAAAATACATCAGTTATACTCGAGCGCTTCGGACTTAAGTTCTAAATATTATGTTATTTTCTGAATAATTCTGTTTTCAATAATGAACATATGATTATTCCATTACTCGTTGTGATCGTGACCATGCCCGCGTTAATCGATCTAGAGGTGGTAGTGTTCTTATTGCTATAGCATCCAAGTACACGTAATATACAATTATTAATAAATCATTCCTGGTCGATATTGTCCGTCTCATTCATATTGTCTTGTGTAGAATTCGTTTTAGATCTTTAAATTTAGTTTTAGGGGTTGTTTATGTTCCCCCAGCAGTTTCTGTGGCTGATCTTGAAATTTTCACTTCAGCCTTGGAACAACTTCTACTTGGCCAGGATTTCCTGATAATAGGGGATTTTAATATACCCGACATTGATTGTCAGGCTAAAACAATAAGTCTTCCTGCTTACAGCACTTCATTAACGTTCTCAACATCAGGCACATTTGCAACTCTCTTGGTAGAGTGTTGGACCTAATACTCGCTAACAGTGATAACTGATAACTTGACAATATCTACTTCTCACTGTGATCATCCTTTGGTCAAAGAAGACAAGTACCATGAGGCTTTATGTACTATCGACTTGACAGTTTTAGAAAATACAACTAATGTGGATGACATTATGAACTGTTTTTATTCAAATCTGTACGACTCGTTTGACATTTATGTACCAAAAAAACTCTATGGTAAATCCAAATATCCGGTGTGGTTTTCACCTGAAATTAAAGCTAATCTGAAGACAAAGGAATACTACAGACGAAAATGGCTGAAAAGCAAGATTCCGTATTTTTTGTCCGAATTTAAGCGTATGCGCACCTTGGTAAAGCTACAAGTCCTACATAAACACAATGGAAACAAATACTAAAAGCAACCCGGCGGATTTGTGGAAATTTCTAAGCCAAAGGAAAGGTACTTCGAGGATTCCAAACACGGTTTTCAAGGATTCTTGCCATTCTCTAAGCCTGTTGACGTTGTAAACGGCTTTGTTAACCATTTTTCTACGACGTACTTAGCCGACAGTGCGATGGATCTTTCTGACTTAACAAATAATATCTTGCCCCTCAATTTTGTGTCCATAGAAGAACAGCAACTCATTAATATCATGGCAAAATTTTCCAACAAGTTTACTGCAGGTGACGACCTTATTCCTAGTTTCTTGATTCGGGGCTGTAGATACGTCTTAACTAAACCGCTCTCCATAATATTCAATGCTGCTATCGAAAGCTCCTTTTTCCCGTCCGTATGGAAACGTGCAAAAATATGCCCAATTTTGAATGTTTTCTGAATGTTTCATGACCCCTACAGTACGAAAAAAGTAGTCTCCAGTTTCTGTCTGTCTGTCTGGTGTCTGTATCCATTTTTATTAGACAAGTAATCTCCGAAACTGCTGTACCGATTGTTGTCAAATTTTGTGCGTATATTAGAAATATCATGCAGATGGTTAAATACTACTGAAAATTTGGATAATCATCCCCACCAACAATTTGATGACGTTATTTCATTGAATTGTATCTTAAAATAATTTTAATGTTATATAAGAAATTAAGAATATACTCCTATACTTGTAGTGTACGAATCCGTTTTCAGTTTTTACCTTTTTTGTTGCATTGTAATACGCTGCGACTACTCTTTGTGCTGTGACTAGTATTATCCATGTTGATGACGTCATTACCAATTTTTTATTGGTCAAATTAAGAACGAGTCAGCTTATTTTCTCGAAGATGTGAAAAACTCGTCTTTATAATAATAATAATAAAATAAGAATTGTAATATTCATCATTTTGCTCGATTATGGTTTAATTCAAATTAAACTAATTTCTACGTGACATTCTTTCGATGTATAAACATAAATAAACACTTGAGAATGCTGCATATGTTTCATTTTTTTATTTTCCTTTGTTAATTGTACAACATACATACTTTCAGTTGATTTATACATATTACTTAATTTATTTGTCCTATAGTTGGTTATTCCGTTGGACAATAAAGATTATAATTATTATTATTATCAATATTTTAGCAAGAACACGTGTATCAAGTTGGATTGGTGCACTGCAATACTAAAAATAATAGTATTGTATTCCCAAAATTTTCTGAGAACACGGATTGAGTCGTTCCTGGTTTAATCAACAATATAAATTGTTACTCATTCATTATTTTTTTGAGCCACTTGTACAAGCAAATCTAAGAATTTATTAACGCAATGATAAATCACAACATATTTTGCACATTTTAGGGATAATTTATTAGGCAAATTTTTGAGATGACGTCATCACTTTTTGGCGCAGATAAACGGATACATTTTGATTAAAAATTTACTGTGCTTGGAATAATTTCAAAACGTCGGCAAGATTTCAAAGCCTTCGGTTTTGCAGTTCCTAATTTAACCTTAAAATAAACTGATTCGTTCATTAATTTTTTTGAGTCAGTCTATATAAGTAAATTTAAACAATATGAATACAATAATAAATCAAGTATAGACTCATCATACCTTATTTTGTACATTTTAGATAAAATTTATTTGGCAAAATTTTGACGTCTCATCCCTTTTTTTGGGTGAATAAGCAAATATACATATTTTGAAAAAAAAAAAAATAACAATACTTATAATAATTTTAAAACAACTGCAAGATTTCAAAGCATTCGGTTTTGTTCTGATTTTTTTTTTCCAAAAATTTGGACGTTTCGGGTCAAAACTCAACATGGATTCATAAACTAGTCGTGTGGGGGTTTGTTATTTTAAAACGCATTTACTATGTACAATTTTGAAGTGACGTCATCACATTATTGGTGGGGACGATTAAACATTTGGTTATTTGGTTAACGATTTACCAACTACATGATACTCATAAATTCATAATACACATATGAAATTTAGAATAATCGGCCCGGTAGTTTCGAAGATTATCTGTCTAACAAAAGTTAACACAAACGGCGGACAGAAACGGGAGACCCATTTTTTCGTACTCTAGGAATCATGACCCATCGACAAAATATGAAAGCAGCCAGTTGCCCAATGGACTCGATTACAATACTTCCTTAGCTTACGGTCGGGAAATAAAAATGGAACTTTGAGTTTGTGTTTGATTAGTTTTATAATTATAAAAATTATAGTAATAGAATATTTCCAGTAATATTTTACAAAGTCTTTTGTTCATGTTGCAGGATTATTGACATTTACTCGATGCAGTTGATCATTAGAATATGCAGAAAGTCTCAGCTAAAACTCCGCGGCCTAATATTTTGGGAATGGATAGAGATATTAAAATTCTGTAAACGCTGTTGTTTTTAGCTTAAAGTAGGAAGTTCAACCAAGTACAAATTTACATTTCTGAAGAATTTTGATAGACCGTTAAATTACGATTGCAGTGGTATATAACACTTGGATATTTATTTGATTTTCAGTTGATAAAAAAATTAAATCTGAAACCATACAAAAATTAAAGTTGAGTAAAATAAAGCACTTGCACATTATTTAATAGCCAACAAGATCTGTTTCAAAAGTGGTTATTTAACATATGTTCGGTCAGGTATTATTATTTGTATGTTAATAAATTTTATTTCTTTTATGACTGAAATTTCAGTAAATATGTAATTGTTGTATAACATTTTAATAGCAATTTAACGGTCCTAAATTAAGCTAAAAAAATGGTGTTTACAGATTTCCAATATTTATATCCGCTCTCAACATGTATTATGCCGCGGAGTTGTAGCTGAGACACTCCGTACATTTATAATAGTAAGCATTTGTGTAATTTTACATATAAATATACACAGGCACCGATTACATCACAAAAATTTAAGAGCGCTTCTTCTGAATGTTTTTCAGTTTATTATCATAGTCGTTGATGCATAAAGGATAGTTATTTATGCCTCTAATAAAAAACGTAGAATTCTTGGGAACAATTTGATTAAATTTAATCGTCGTAAGATAAAAATCTGTGGGCTTGGTTTCGATAACAAGAAAAAGGTATTTCGTGCCAGTATCTGAGATAGATTCGGACACACTAGCTGAGACAATCCTGCTCAAAAACACGTCTGTACAAGTTTCCTTAACTAATGGCCAATTATTTAACTTGTCGATTGCGTGGTTTGCCGCTCTTTCCACAAAATCATCCTTTATATCAAGAGGTCGAAAATGCCCTCCGCACGTACACCATTCCGTTGATATCCCTGCATCTTCGCAAGATCTATCTCTGGGAATTTCTTCTAACAACGAAACACATTTCTTACAGGCCGAACTACCCTTTCTCTTGTAACCTGTTTCTGAAAGCGTTAACACATGTTCCAAGGTCACAAACATATCGTAGGTACTTATGAGTTTATTCCTGTTTTTTCGCACATTCTGATACTCTCTACTTAAATTCTGTCGGAATGTTCTAGGAACGGAAATCATGTTAATGGGCATTCGTTCCTCGAACCATCCACCTCTAGTCTTTCGAATCTCCCCAAACCTTATCCCGTGGTCACTTAAAACAATCACCATAGTGTTGTTCAAAATTCCTTCTTTCTTCAAATCAGCAAAAAACTCTTTCACTTTTTTGTCCATACTATAAGGGACCCTCAAATAATTGTGACTAAAACTGCTCATCCAAAAAATGCCAAAAGTTGATTGGTTTTTAAAAGTTGTGACGAAATCTCTAGCTAGATTCAGAACTCGTTCGGCTGAAGTTCCTGGACCTGCGCAGTATGGCAGTTTGTGGTAAATTCGCACCCCTAAGGCTTCAGCAGCTTCCATGTAGGGTTTAAAATAATAATCTGTAGGAGGTTCTGAAAATCCCATTTTATTATAATTAAATGTGGATATGCGTATGGCATCTTCTACGAACGCTGTGATGTAACCGTTGCTACTAAAGTTTTTCCATATCATGGGACAGCGGTCCAATCCACCTATTTTCTGATCTTGACACTTCTGGGGGATTTCGTTTAACCTGAGACCTGTTAAAAGACTCACCAAATTCTCATAGGTGTTGTCGGCAATTTTTGTGTATCCTTTCATTTCAATAAAGTTATTTTTGGCCAAAAACGCATACGTTTGTGGCATTGTTCGAATAAAATTTAGTCTAGAAATGCTGTCAATGCCGATAATGAGGACACTGAGAGGTTTAGGCGGAGCATTTCTCATCTTTTCTTTTATCATAGTTTCGTTTATTCTTATTATGTTGTGGACGTTTTGGTAGATTACTGTAGATTTTTTGGTGCAAGTCACGTTTACTGTATCTTGTGTCAAGACTGTGTCGTTCTGAAAAGGTATGCATTGAGACGTCCTACAAAATTATATAAAAAAAGGGATAGCGGAAAACAAATTTTTACTTGAATCCAACATCGGGTAGATCCCGGGAGCCCTTTCTTGTAATGTAGGAGTAACAACAATCGAAACTTCTTGTACCGTTTATAAGTGGGAATGGTTTTTTAAGATGTAACACAGTCACATTGTCGCTGTTTCTGTCCACATAACTTAGTATTTCGGTCTTATTGCAACGTAAGTAGGGGTCACGTCTTATCATACGAATTTTTAGAAATTCCTCATTGAAAGGATCTATTTCTGGAATTTTACATTTTGGACTGTCGAGGATATAGTCTGAAATAATTGCGAAATGATAAATTGATTGATACAAAAATCTGCATGCTTACTTACCTTTCTTAAAGTTTATTCCATACACAATCGGTAAAAATATCAAAACGATGAATAATTTTCCCATTGACTCGCGACTACAGTCACAAAATTGTGAAAGATATATTACCACTTAACGTGTACTTTATTGCGTTGTATGATCTATGATTTTTTTTTAATGATCTTAATACGTTAGTTATTGTACTACTTTTACCGAGGCCGGCCGATCTCTGAACTTGTAATGTTCTTATGTACGTACGGAAATTCTTCCTCCCCATTAAGACACGCGTTAGATTTATTACTTACTTCCTGACCGTAAGCTAATTACTTCAAGAGCGTAAATCAAGGAAGTTCTATTGTAATAGGGTCCCCATGTCGAATGGACCCCTTGTTGTCAAATTTTATATGTAAGTGCGGTAGGAATATCGCGTAGCTAGTAAAACTCTATAAAATAACATACTCCTGCATTTGTGGTTTATGAATCCGTGTTAAACTTACAAAATTGCAATACAATATTTTACTGTTATGACCTCATTTCAAAATTTTAATGAATGAGGCAATTTATTTTACTGATCAAATAAAGAATATTTTAACATATAGGGGCTATTATAAAAAAAAATTGGGAAACTTTACTTTTAATTAATACACAAATCTAAATTATCTATTGTTTTCACAAAAAAAGCGGATTCAGTAGTAACAAATCGTTTAAATATTACCGTCGCGAGAAACGTAACAGCGGTCGGTTTAGTCCTAAAAACAACAAACAAATATCTTTCATCATTGTTTTCCAAAGACTCGGACATACTGGCTGCTAAAACATCATCCAACTCAGCAGATTTACAATAAGTTGGATCCAAAGCACTGGTACTATTGATCTTCGATATAGCTATCTCAGTAACATTTTTTACGTATGCATGATCCGTTTCAATGCTCTTGAAATATCCCATACAAGTACACCACTGTGGTGGTACCCCAGCACCTCTACAAGATCTATTCGATACAATTCGTGTAAACAACGAAGTACATTTACCACACGACGATTTTTCTCTATCCTCATAGTTCTTCCCCGACAAAATTAAAATATGTTTTAAAGTCGAAAATAAGTCGTAAGTACTTGTCAACTTATTGGAATTTTCCACTAGGTTGTGATACTCGGTACGAAATCTCTGTTTGAACCTTTTAGGTACCGAAATCATGTTAAGTGGAGTTCGTTCCTCAAACCACCCACTCCTGGTAGTTTTAATTTCGCCAAATCGTATACCATGGTCACTCAGCACAACGACAATACTGTCATCAAAAATTTTCTCATTCTTCAAATCAGAAAAAAAGGTCTTCATTTTCTCATCCATCACATACGGAGCGTTTAATTCATTGTGACTGAAAGTGTTCATCCAGAAAATGCCAAAAGTCGCTTGATCCTTAAAAGTGGTGGCGAAATCTTTGGCGAGGTTCAAAATGCGTTCACCTGCCGTCTCTGGACCTGTACAATAAGGCATGTAGTTGTTGTACCGAATCGTAAGGGTTTCGGAAGCTTCAATGTAAGGTTTAAAGTAGTAGTCTGTTGGTGGGTTCAAGAAACCTTTTTTATTGAAGTTGAAAGTTGAGATGTAGCTAGCATCTTCAGCGTATGCAGTGATGTACCCTTTGTTACTGTAGTCGTACCATATCATGGGACAGTTATCCAAACCACCAACAGTTTCCGGCTTGCACTTTTCGTTGATTGTCGCTAGATCCAGTCCAGTAAGAAAGGCACCAAAATTCGGAAAAGTATTGTCAGCTACTTTAGTATAACCTTTCATTTCGATAAAGTTGTTGTCACGAAGATAAGTGTAGGTTTGGTTCATGGTACGAATGAAGTTGAGTCTAGATATGGCATCTATCACTATAAACAAGACACTGAATGATTTTGATGAGTTGGAACTTTTCAATTTATTTTTCACTGATTCTTTTATAATGATGGGGTTGTGGACGTTTGCGTAGACCAGTCGAGGTTCATTTTCGTCATATTGGTGGCACTCGACTTTGACGATATCATGAGTAAGGACCACGTGATTATCAAATGGTTGGCATTCCATTATACTAAAAACGAAAAATTAGAAGGAGTTTGCTACATAGCTACTTTTTACTTGATTCCAGTGTCAGGTTCTTCTGCAGTTCCATTCCTAGTTACGTAAGAATAGCAACAACTTATATTTGAACCATATTGAGGTTTAAGTTCGTCTTTAATATACAGTGTGGCCGAATTGTCGATCGTCGTCACAAAAGTTAACAGCTCGGTTTTGTTGCAACTTATGTAAGACTGCGGCTTCATTATGTCTCTTACTTCGTCGTTAAACGGCTCTAAGTTAGGAATTTTACATTTTGGTTTCTTGAGTATGTATTCTAAAAACACAGCTAATAGTACCTATTATATATTGAGCGAAAAATTGTATACCTTGATCTCCACTGCACCTTGTGTAAATCAGCAATGTGATTATCACACTAATCAACATTTTTGGAATGTGGGTTTAAATCACACGACTTTCAATTAATAAGGAAACAACTCATAAAGACATGTTTTCATGAACATGTCGAGTGTGGTAAGATCGTCTTATCGCTTCGGATTTATCGGGAACAGAATAATTTTAACGAGTTGTTTATGAGAGCAACGTGTGATTATTTTCAATTGTGTGCATCTTAAAATGATACTTAGTGGTTATCAGTTGACTTCTTCGAAAATACTGCTGTCTGTGTGTCTGTGGAGAATTTATGTAGTTTGTTCTTCTTTTCTTAGGTCTTACGATGCTAAATTTAGAAGCATTTATTTGAAATTTTAGTAAACACAGGTTTCTGTTCTTGTATTATAACAAAATTTCAGTGTTAGATTATACAATCTTCATTATTGTATTTTCTTTATCTTCAAATGTCAAAACACTGTAATTTATAGTTATAATAATGGACAACACGTGGAATAAAATATATATACTAAAGCACGCTTTTGTAGCTGTATGGACTAAAAAATATTAACTAATATTAAAGTTAATTTTTAAAGATTGTTTTTTATTTTTACTTCTCGAGCGTAAGCTAAGGAAGTATGGTGATCGAGTCCATCGGCCGACTCCTTCCTCTTGTGTTTTCTCGACCTTCCATGACCCTTAAAGTATGAATGAAGAAATAAGTCACCGGTTCCGTCTGTCTGTATGTCTGTGTGCCGTCTGTTCGGATTTTTAGTAGACAGATAATCTTCGAAACTACTAGATGGATTGTCATATTTTGTAGGTTTATTAGGAATATCATGCAAGTACCACTTGGAATGCCAACCAAAACTTGTCTTATTATCCCCACCAACAATTTGATGACGCCATCTGTGGTGTATAAATCCGTCTTAAGTTTTCACCGTACACATGTGGAATTTTTGGAAAAAAAATCAAAAATTGAATAACAACATTTTGCAATTTAATTTTGAAACTCCAAAACCGAATGCTCTGAAAGGTTTCATGGATATGGTAAGCATGATATATCGTTAATCAAAATTGATTCGTCTATCTCCTCTAAAAAAATTGATGACGTCACTCAAAATTTTGCCTAATAAATCCTCTTCGAAATATGCAAAATATTATGACTCTATACTTGTGGTTTATCAATGCATTATGGTTTTTGGAAGTACTTATATAGAGTAATTCAAAACAATTAATGAATGGGGCTATTTATTGTGTTGATTAAATCAAGACGGCTCACTCCATTTTCCTGAAAATTTGGGAATATTGTACTATTATATTACAGTGCATCTCTCAGTGCAAAAATGTTGATGACGTCGTAACAAAATTTTATAATGGAAAAATTCACTTGAAACAAATATTACATACACATTTTTATTTTAACTTATATCATAAATATAAAAAATTCGCAAAATCAAATCTTATAATTTTTCGAAAAATCTGAATATATAACTTTGTTTTATTTTAGCAAATGCTAGCCCCACCCACCCGCCCCCTCTTTTGTCAGAGGCTATGTTATCTGTCAAAATAAGTCTTATCTTAGCAAGTAGTAGCCCCGCCCACCCGCCCTCTATTTTCTCAGAGGATGTCATTCGCCAAAATAAATCTAATCTTAGCAAGTATTAGCACCGCCCACCCGCCCCCTCTTTTCTCAGAAGCTATGTTATCTGCCAAAATAAGTCTTATCTTAGCAAGTACTAGCCCCGCCCACCCGCCCTCTATTTTCTCAGAAGCTATGTTATCTGCCAAAGTAAGTCTTATCTTATGCGTGACTTTAAGATCTGGTTTGCGGAAAATGAATTAAAAGTTAATCGCTATTAACTTTTAAGTGAGGTTCGTTGCTATGCAACGTGCATATTCTAACCAATCACGGGCTTATATTCTACATTTTAATCCTATGTTAAATTAATCGAGGATTAAACATTTAATTCACTTTTCATAAACAGACCCTAATGTTTTCAATTTTTCAGTTTCTTTCAAGTTCAAGTTTTCAAGTTTTTTATTTTTATTTTTCATTTTCTTGATTTTTTAATTTTCATTTTATATATAATATATGTATAACAATTTTTCGTTCGTTTATTTAATTCTTTAAATTTTTAATTTTCCAATTACTCCGATTTTCCGATTTTTTAAATTTTCAATATTTCGATTTTACAATATTTCGTTTATTCGATTTTGCAATTATTCGTTTTTTAATGCCCATTTGTACCCCACTGATTAACGTTTTGCTTTGTTTAATTTGACAGATTTATTTGTCTTTTTTGTCATCCTTAGCTTTCTTTTCACATCAAGAAACTGAAAACATGTTGAAAATGGAAAATTTATTTGGTATAGAAATATGTATATATTTTGCAGTTACGCTCCGCCCCTCGGTCTAACATCAAATGAAAAATTCATCACAATTGTGAACGGGGTGGGTGGGTGGGGCGTAATCTTTGTTTGTTTTTATAATATATAGAGTTTTCTTTCAGCAACAAGATAGTTGAACGTGTTTTCAGTTTCTTGTTGGGAAAAGAAGACTTCGTATATTAACAAAAAAGTGAACGAAATATAAGCCCCGCCCACCCACCCCTTCTCAATTGTGATTAATTTTTTATTCATCGTGAGCTGAAGGAAGGAGCTTAGTTGCAAAATCGTCATTTATAGAAATTACCATGCGAAAAAAAAAATTGTACAGAAATATGGACTTTGCAATTAAACTTTCGGGGCGGATGGGTGGGGCTTAATCTTTGTTTTTTTTTTTGCTTTACATATATAGTTTTCTTTCAACAATTTGTTGGCACAAAGAACAAGAGATATAAGAAAAAAAGTCAATGTGTTATTCGTAGCCACGTAGAATAACTAGTACTTTCTCGTTCTTCTCGGAAAACTGAAGAAATGTGAAATTGGAAAATCTAAAAATTGAAAACTGGCCAAATTTCAAATCGAGAAACTCCAAAATCTAAAAATTGGAACGTCCAAAAGTTGGAAAATCGGAAAACTAGAAGATTTATAAATGAAAACTCGACGAGATATTGTCAAATTGAAGAAAAGAAAAACAAAAAATTGAAAAAAGTGAAATTGAAAAAAACAAAAAATTATAAAATCGGAACTTTGAAAAATTGTAAAGATAAAGAAAATAAAAACTAAAACGAAAAATTACAAATGGAAAAATTGAAAAATTGGAAATTCGAGAAACTCAAATCGGAAAATTGCAAAAACTAAACATTGAAAAATTGTAAAACTGAAAAATTTAAATTTGAAAACTCAAAAAATTGCAAAAAATAAAGAAACAAAAAAATTAAAATTTAAAGAATTAATGAAAAATTCAAGTCAAAAAAACTCTGGGAGCGTTCTTTACGCCACTGGATTTTATTTTATAGTTTTAGACTTTTTGTGTATTATTGGTTGTATACTTACAATACACTGATGTGTGTTTTTCTTTAAAACTAGTAAGTATACAGACACATAACTAAGAAATTATTGTATTGTCATCATGTGAAAAATTTTAAATCATTCGGACGCCTGAAAGAGGGTGAAAATTGAAAAATTATAATATATATATATAATATGATAAATTAGTATACAAACACATTATCTTAAAATATGCATAAAATATTTATTTTATTTCCATATTATATTTTCTCAAAAACAACTACAACTATAACTATACCTAGTACAGTGATATATTTTATTGTTCGAACATAGTGTCACGTAAACGGCCATTATCAATTCTGCTTACGTACACCGAGGAGTTACTTGTAACAAAATCGTTGAAAATGACAGTTACCAGAAAAATGACCGACTTTGGTTTTGTGTGAAAAGTAACAAATAATGTTTTTTCTGTTTTGTTCAATAACGTAGACTCAGAAGTACTAGCTGTCAAAACTTGACCTAATTTAGGTCTGAATTCAGCAAACGGGTCTTGAGCACTGGTAACACGTATCATGTCCAATGCTAAATCCGTCGCATTTTTTACATATGGATGATCTTTTTTAATATTACGAAAATGTCCCATGCAAGTGCACCACTCCGGTGGTATTCCCGCATCCATACAAGTTCTATCCTTCGGAATGCTGCTGAAAAGTGATGAGCAATTCGGACAGGACGAAATTTCTCTACTTTTATTTGTTTTCCCCGATAGAACCAAAATGTGTTCTAAAGTTAAAAATAAATCGTAAGTGCTCGTCAACTTGTTCGAATTTTCCACAAGGTTCCAGTACTCGAGCGGAAACTTCTCTTGAAACGTTCCTGGTACTGAAATCATATTAATCGGCATTCGTTCTTCGTACCAGCCACTGTTGCTTGTTCTAATTTTGCCAAATCTCACTCCGTGGTCACTCAACATAATAACTATACTTTCGTTGAATACCCCTTTCTTCTTTAAGTTGACAAAAAAATTCTTTACTTTGTTGTCCATTCCACGAGGTGCGTTTACGCTTTGGTGACTGAAACTATTCATCCAAAAGATGCCAAAGGTCGGCACGTTCTTAAAAGTGGTGACAAAATCTTTAGCTAGGTTTAAAATGCGTTCACCTTGCGATTCCGGACCTGTGCAGTATGGCATTTCATTAAGGTGTCGAATCGTGAGGGTTTCCGTAGCTTCCATGTAAGGCTTGAAATAGTAATCCGTAGGCGGATTTACAAAACCTTTAGAAAGGTAGTTAAAAGTTGTAATATCAGTCATGTCTTCAGCGTAGGCTGTGATATAACCTGCCTTACCGTAGTCGTACCAAATCATGGGACATTCATCCAAACCACCAACAGTTTGGGGTTTACATATAGTCTCAGTTGTGGATGAGTCAAAACCAGTAAGAAGAGCCATGAAATTTGGCAAGGTGTTATCGTTAATTTTAGTGTAACCTTTCATTTCGACGAACTTGTTTTGACGAAGATAAGTGTAAGTTTGTTTCATAGAGCGAATGAAATTGAGTCTGGACATGGAATCTATGACAACAATTAAGACACTCAGAGGTGTAGACGATTTTGTGGTTTCCATTTTGTCTTTGACGGATTCTTTTAAAATGATGGGGTTGTGGACGTTTTCGTAAACCATTTTGGAAGTCTTGCCTGTTTTTTTAATGCACCGGACTTTGACAATGTCGTGGGTCAGGAGTACATCGTTGTTGAATGGCTCACATGATGATATTCTAAAATTGTACAATTTAAAGAAGGCTTACGCAAAAATCACTCGTTACTCGATTCCAACATCGGGTTCGTCTTCAGATCCGTTTCTTGTTACGTAAGAATAGCAACAGGTAAAGTTGGAACCATAGTGGAGTTTCATTTCATTCCTAATGTGTAATGTAGCGGACTCAGAATTGTTCTTCTTTATAACAGTTAATAGACGAGATTTGCTGCAGCTTAAGTATGACTGTGAATGGATAAATATTTTGACTTCTTCGCTCAATGGATCTAATTTCGGAATCTTACACATGGGAGTGTCGAGAATATATTCTACAAAGTTGGTAGCAAAAATCTGTGTTAAAAATTAAAAAACGACATACCTTTCTTTGCACCAAGTGTCTTGTAAATCAGTATTGAAAGTAACAGATTAAAGATCAACATGATGATAAATTAACAGACACAGAAGTTGCTTTATGTTCCTCTATACACGAGCATAATTTTAATCGCACTAACTGCTGAAAACTATTAGTAATTGCATTATGCGTTTACTTTTTTATAAAGCATGACTTATAACAATGATATTTTTCGCAGTCTAAAGTCGAGCGTTATCAAAAACGAATGAACAATCTGCACAAAGGTATTTCATATGATAAAGATTATCTTGTAATAACAGTGGAAATTTTGAATTTAACAGTTAACAGTATTTCCTGTCCAGGGCGGCTCATAAGTTGAGAAGTTGATGATGCAAGGCACAAGATGCCCCAATATCTAAATGCCAAAACAATTATATTGTCGTGTTTGCGCTTTTAGTAAACATGGATTTTTTAATATTTTCTATGCCGGAAAATCTAATTCGTATTTGATTAATTTTAATGTCATGATTTTCGGATAAAATTACCTTAATTTCTGTTTATTATTCATTTCACTTCGTTTATACGTCTCAATGGTCAAATATCAATATAAAGTTTTCTATAAATTTTGTTAAACATGCTCGCTGTGTCTAAAGTAGTGTGCAGCAATGTTGAAAAAATAATGCCAAAGTTTCTACAAAAAAAAGAACATTTTCTTAGAGTTTTTTTTTATTCTCTCAGATTCTGTCAATATCCCTCAGATTTCCTTAGAATTTTTCAGATTTTTACAAATCATTTCAGATCATCTCAAATTTTTCAAGATCGCTTTGGACCCTTTTAGATCCCTGCAGACTGTTCTAGATTCTTACAGGTTTACCTATATTCGTCTAGACTCCCTACAATTCTTTCCGATGCCCTCTGAATCTTTCTAATTCTTTCCGATTCTTAGTTTCATGTTCCGTCAGATTTTCTTGGATTCCCACAGATTTTTCCAGATTCTTTAAGATATTTTCAGATTCTTTCCTTTTTTTAAGATCCTTCCTTTCGGATTTTTTTGGATTCTCTCGGATTATTCCGGATGCTTTTGAATGTTTTCGAATTGTTTCACATTTTTTAGAATTATTTAAGATTTTTCTAGATTTTTCGAGATTCTCTCAGGTACTCACAGGCTCCCTCAGATTCCTCCAGATTTTTTCAAACTCTTTCCGAATCTCTCAGATTCTTTCCGATTTTCCCAATTCCTCTCACATTGTCTCAGATTCTTTCAGATTCTTTCATTGTCTTTCTGATTCTCTCTTTCAGATTCTTTCGATTTTTATTATTCTGTCGAATTATTCCGGATGCTTTTCGATGTTTCCGGATGGTTTCAGATTCTTTCAAAGACACCGTCAGGAATTCTCACAATTCTTTCAAATGTTTGAGTTCTTTTCAGGTCGTTTTAAAACCGTACAGATACTCTCAGATCCCTGCAGACTTTTCCAAATTCTTCCAGATTTTTCTAGATTCTCTCAGATTCCCACAAATCCCTCCAGATTCTTTCAAATTCTTTCACATTCTTTCGTTTTCTTTCTGATTCTCTCTTTCAGATTTCCTCGATTTTTTTTATTCTTTCCGATTAATCCGGATTCTTTTCCGGATTTCCGGATTAATTCCAATTCTTTCAAATTTCTTAAGATTCTTTCAAATTTTTCACTTCCATTCAGGTCGTTTCAGATCCTTTCAGAGTCCTGCAGATTCTTCCAAATCATTCCAGCCCAAAATTTATCTAATCATCCACACCAATGATGTGATGACGTCAGTTCAAAATTTTGCTAAATAAATCCTATCTAAAATGTACAAAACATAATGAGTCTATACTTGTGATTTATAATTCCATTCATATTTTTTGGATTTACTTATACAGGGTGTTTAAAAAAATGAATGCGTGAATTTATTTTCTTGATTTAATCAGGAACTACAAAACCGAATGCTTTGAAATCTTGGAGACGTTTTAAAGTTATCATAAGCATAAGATCAAAATGTATTGCTCATCCCCGCTAAAATATTGATGACGTCACCTTAAAATATTGCTGAATAAATCCTATCTTAAATGTGCAAAATATGATGATTCTATACTTGTGATTTATCACTACATTAATAGTTTTTAGATTTGCTTATACGGGGTGTCTCAAAAAAATTAATGATTGAGTCAGTATATAATATTGATTAAATCAAGAATTGCAAAACTGAATACTTTGGAACCTTGCTGATTTTGAAGTTATTGGAAGCATAGTAACATTTAACCAAAATGTATCTATTTATCAACCCCAAAAAATTGATGGCGTCATCTCAAAATTTTGCCGAATAAATCCTATATAAAATGTGCAAAATAGCATCAGTCTATACTTGTAATTTATCAATGCATTCATATTTTTTAGATTTGCTTATACAAGGTGACTCAAAAAAAAAAATGAATCAATCAATTTACTTTATTGAATATGTTTATTCTCCTTAAGAAATTGATAACGTCATTTCAAAATTTTGCCGAATAAATTCTACCAAAAATGTGCAAAATATAGTAAGTTTTTACTTGTGATTTATCATTGCATTCATATTTTTTATATTTGCCCCCTATTTTCTCAGAGGATATGTCATTTGCCAAATTTAGTCTTAGTACGGACTAGCCCCGCCCACCCGCCCTCTATTTTCTTACAGAGCATGGCATTTGCCAAAATCAGTTTTATCTTAGCAAGTACTAGCCCCGCCCACCCACCCGCTATTTTCTCAGAGGATTGTCATGTGCCAAAATCAGTCTTATCTTAGCAAATACTAGCATTTTGACAAATGACATACCTTTTAAGAAAATAGGGGCGGGTGGGCGGGGCTAGTACTTGCTTATTTTATTTAGTAAGACTTATTTTGTCAAATCACATACCCTCTGAGAAAGTAGGGGGCAGGTGGGCGGGGCTAGTACTTGCTAAGGTAAGACTTATTTTGGCAAATGACATATCCTCTGAGAAAATAGGGGACGGATGGGTGGTGCTAGTACTTGCTAAGATAAGAGTGATTTTGTCTCTATTAATCTTGTAAAAACTTGTTAAATTTAAAAGGTGTTAAACTGCAAATTTCCATAGTAACGAGTTAAATTCCTAAATCTGATTGGGTGTTTATTTTTTATGTTTCATTCTACTTCCGGAGTGAGGGAAGTTCTGTTGAAACAACTTTCGACCAATTTTTTTAGATTCTCTTAGATTTTTCTAAATTCCTCGAAATTCTTCAAAATTCTCTCAACTTCTCTTAGATTCCCTCAAATTCCCTAGAATTCTCGCGATTTTAGTAATAATAATAATAATAATAATAACATTTACTACTTTCTCCATGCAGTGATGTAGAATTAAATCTCTTTAAAAGAGTCGAATACTCTACAGCACGTGAGGGGGTAAAAGGCTAAGAATTTTAACAATTTTCTTTGTACAGCTTCTCCTTGCGATGGATTTTTTCACATTTTCTCAGATTCTCTAAGAATGTTTCACTTTTCCGATGCTTCCAGATCCTTTCACATTTTTCCACATCGCTTCAGAGTCCTGCAAAATCTTCGAGATTCCCCTAGATTCCTCCAGGGAATGTGAGAGAATATCGAAGAATCTAACAAAATCTAAAAGAATCTAGGAAAATCTGGAAGAGTCTGCAGGAATCTGAAAGGATTTATAAGGATGTGAAACAATCTGAACAGAACTGAAAAATTTGAAAGAATCTTGAGAATTTCTGATAGCGTTTTTGAAAGAATCCGAAAAATTTGAAAGAGAGAATCAGAAAGAATCCAAAGAATTCGAAAAGAAGAGTCGCAGAGAAAATGAAAGAATTTGAAAAAATCTTAAATTATCTCAGATTCTTTCAGATTTTTTTGGATCCCTTCAGATTCTTTCAGAATTTTTCACCTCTCATATCGTTTCAGATTCTTTCAAATTTTTCCAGATCATTTCAGACCGCTGCAGACTCTTTCAGATACTGCTAGTTTCTTCTAGATTCTTCTGAATTCTTCAAAACAGCTAATATCCATCTAACACGATAAGAATACCAAGAATTTTTCAAATTTATTTTTAAAATATTAGAAAAAAAAAACATTTTGTTTTCCAGAAATGTGTCAATCAAAAATAATAAAAATAATAAACCTGCCTCATAGGGAATCAAACAACCATCGGTAAATAAATATTTATTTCCAACAAAAATTTTGAGCATTGACTTAAATTTAACTTAAGCAGCTACATAATACTATAAACGTGACGATTATCATCTATAACTCTAATCTACCTACATCATGAGTCGCATGGTTGGGTTTGAAAATAATATACAAAATTTTTGGCATTGTACAGAAAGAAGTTAAACACCTACTAACTATAAATTCCTTGTTTTAACAACTGGGCATCCTGTAACAGAAACAATAAATTAGACAAGCCGTAAGGTAATCACTATTCTATTAACTAAACCACTTCTGTAATCTAAAAGATCAGCGATACGCACGTCCGTCAAAATCTGCATAACTGTCATGAGTCATACTGAATACCGAGTTAATGCTGCTCAAAGGCATGCAAATAGATTCTTCTATCCGACGCGGTATCTCTTGATTAACATCGATAAATATCATAACGTGATTTTTATGGTTTATGGGCAGTCTTTCACCTTGAAAGAAAACTCGTCCGTGCCGCTAAAAATAAGTGCATTTCGTTCAACCATGTAGGTAGCATGCGTGAAACTTTATGTAACTTATGTAATATATGCATACAACGAGTATGTTTAAAAGAAAAAAAAAAGATATTTTCGTTACAGAGATTTCCATATGATTAAAAAAATGTCCTCTAGTGGGCCATGAAATTTATTTTTAAAATAATGGCAGATTTTGATACTTTATTTGAGTTTTTGGCCGTACTGTCAAACTAAATAAGGGACGCGTTGGTGCCATGGCCTACTGTAGGAATTTTTTAAATAAGTGCATTTCGTTCAACCATGTAGGTAGCATGCGTGAAACCTTATGTAACTTATGTAATATATGCATACAACGAGTATGTTTAAAAGAAAAAAAAAAAGATATTTTCGTTACAGAGATTTCCATATGATTAAAAAAATGTCCTCTAGTGGGCCATGAAATTTATTTTTAAAATAATGGCAGATTTTGATACTTTATTTGAGTTTTTGGCCGTACTGTCAAACTAAATAAGGGACGCGTTGGTGCCATGGCCTACTGTAGGAATTTTTTCCATCATAATTTTTGTTTGTGTAGGTAGTGTATGCCAAATCACTGAAGTTCAGTTTTTTTGTATGTCATAAATGTAGATTATTAAAAAAAAGTTTAAGCGAGGAGATGCACATTAAAGTTTTCTAAATACAGGATTTGTATGAATTTTAAAAATACGTTTTGGTCTAACATTTGGATAGATGTGAGTTTCGGTGCACCTTGTATAAATTGCCGATCCATTCCAGAAAAAAATCTGTTAAAAATGTTCTAAATCTGCTTAAAAAATACAAACGGATTTAAAAAGTTTCGTTGTCTGTAAATTTGACGCAAAAATTATATAAAATTTTGGGAGGACAAAAAGACAAAAAATTGTATTGTGTTGAAGTTAACTTTTTTATTATATTAATTTATGTCTTTGAAGCTTTTTTTATTGAGGTATATTTATTTCAAATTAATTCGTTACTTAAGGCATTTGCTTCGCTGAAATCGGAAAGAAACAGTTTCCTGAGATTATGAGATTTCTTTAAAACTGAAGGCTTAGAGATAGGCACTATTTTTTGTCCATTTCATCGTAAGAACAACCTTAACGAAACCTCCATAAATTGACTAACCAAATAAGAAGCTAACGTCAGCGACATAAAATTTTGTGGTTTATACAGGATGTCATTAAGACGGAAAAAAAGTTAGTACGGTTCTTTGAATAGCATACATTAAAATTATTTTAGACTATGCAGAATAATGTTTTTGTGCCCACAACTTATTTTTTCAAATAGAGCACGGCGAATACCGAAATACTGTTTTCAAAAATTGCAAAAATTTAATTTGTTTTAATAAACACTCTATATATTAAGACTCTTACCAAAATTTTGCATACACAAATACTTGTTGTGACTGTTTTTTAAAACTTTCCATTGTCAAAAAAAAAAATGGAATTACACAAAAGGTGAAAAATGGAAGAAACAGAAAACTGAAACATTCAAAATTTGAAAAATTAAAAAATTGCAGAACGACAAATTGAAGAAATGAAAAATTTAATAATTTGAAAACTTGTAAAATCAATAAATTGAACAAATGAAAAATGTGAAATATTTATAAGTGAAAACTCGAAAAATTGGAAATCAACAAATTGAAGAAACGAAAAATAGAGAAATTCAAAAGTGAAAAATGAAAAAATACGAATCGATGAATTGAAGAAACATAAAATTGAAAAATCGGAAAATTAAAAATTTATAAATTGTAAATGTAAAAAATTCACAAATTGAAGAAAAAGCCAAAAATTGAAGAAATGAGAGAATGAAAAATTTTAAAGTTGAAAAAAAAAGCGAAAAATTGAAGAAACGAAAAATGGAAAATGGAAAAGTGAAAAATGGAAGAAACAACAGTACAATATTCAAAAGTTGAAAAATCGAAAAATTGCAAATCGGCCATTTTAAATAACAGAACAATTGTAAAATCAAAAAATTGAAGAAACTAAACATGAAAATAATTTACAAGTGAAAACTCGTAAAATGGAAATCGACACATTGAAGAAACGACAAACTGAAAAATTGAAAAAACAAAGAAACGAAAAATCAAAAAATTCAATAGTCGAAAAATACGAATCGATAAGTTAAAGATTCATAAAATTCAAACATTGAACAATTAAAAATTGACAAACTGAAAAAGCCAAAAATTGAAGAAACGAAAGAACGAAAGATTCTAAAGTTGAAAGACGAAAAATTGAAACAAAAAAAAAATGGAAAAGTGAAAAATTTAAGATCGGAAAACTGAAACATACAAATTGAAGAAACGAAAAATAGAAAAAATATAAGTGAAAACTCGAAAAATTGGGGATGAATAAATTGAACAAACGAAAAATTGAAGAAACGAAAAATAAAATAATTTAAAAGTGAAAACTCGAAAAATTCAAAATCGACAAATTGAACTAACGAAAATTGAAAAAACGAAAAATTGAAAAACAGAAAAAACAAAAATTGAGAAACTGAAAAAATTAAAAGTTGAAAAATTGAAGAAAAAGCCAAAAACTGAAGAAATGAAACAGTGAAAAATTCTATAATTGAAAAATTGAAAAATTGACGAAACTAAAAATAGAAAAATTTAAAAGTGAAAAATTGAAGAAATGGAAAAGAGAAACATTTAAAATGAAAAATGGTAAAATCGAAAAATTGTAAGATATGAAAATTAAAATTGGTAAACTGAAAAATTTAAAAAGTGAAAATTCGAAACTTTCAAAAAACGAAATTGGAAAAACTCGAAAAATTGGAAATCGACAAACTGAAAGAAAAAAAAAATTAAAAAATTCAAAAGTGAAAAGTAGAAAAATTGTAGATCTATAAATCGAAGAAACTTAAAATTAAAAATTAAAAAATTATAAATGAGGAACTGAAAATGTGAAAAATCGACAAATTGGGGGAAAAGTCAAAAATTGAAAAAACGAAAAATGGAAAAATGGAAAAGTGAAAAATGGAAGAAACAGAAAACTGAAACATTCAAAACTCGAAAAACCAAAAAATTTAAGAACGACAAATTGAAGAAATGAAAAATTTAATAATTGAAAATTGTAAAATCAAAAAATTGAACAAATGAGAATTGTGAAATATTTATAAGTGAAAACTCGCAAAATTGGAAATCGACAAATTGAAGAAACGAAAAATAAAGAAATTCACAAGTGAAAAGTGGAAAAATACGAATCGATGAATTGAAGAAACATAAAATTGAAAAATCGGAAAATTAAAAATTTAGAAATTGTAAATGTAAAAAATCCACAAATTGAAGAAAAAACCAAAAATTGAAGAAATGAGAGAACGAAAAATTGAAGAAACAAAAAATGTAAAATTGTAAAAGTGAAAAGTGGAAGAAACGAAAAAGTGAAACATACAAAAGCTAGAAAATCGAAAAATTGCAAATCGACAAACTGAAGAAATGAAAAATTGAATGTGTAGAAATATTGTAAAATCAAATAATTTAAGAAACGAAAAATTGAAAATCTAAAAATTGAAGAAACAATAAATAAAAAAATTCAGAAGTGAAAAGTTGAAAATTTGCAAATCGATAAACTGTGGAAACGTAAAGTTGAAAAACTGAAAAATTAAAAATTGAGCAATTGTAAATATGACAAATCGATAAATTGAAAAACGAAAACCTGAATTAACGAAAAATAGAAAAATGTAGAAGTGAATAACGAAAGAAATAGAAAATGAAACATTCAAAACTTGAAAAATCGATTGATTGCAAATTCATAAATTGAAGAAATAAAAAATTGAATGGAAAAATTGTAAAATCAAAAAATTGAAGAAACGAAAAAATGAAGAACCGGAAAATTCAAAAATTCAAAAGTGAAAAGTGAAAAAATTGCATATCGTTAAATTGAAGAAACGAAACTTTGGAAGCTCGAAAAATCAAAAATTGTGAAAATAACTGAAAATGTGAAAAAAAGACAAGCTGAGGAAAAAGCCAAAAATTTAAGAAACGAAGTGAAAAAGTCTAAAGTTGAAAAATGGAAGCATTGAAGAAATGAAAAATGGAAAAATTTAAAAGTGAAAAATGAAAGAAAAGGAAAAGTGTTTCAAATCTTCAAAATCGAAAATTGCAATTCGACAAGTTGAAGTAACGAAAAATGGAAATAATTTACAAGTGAAACTTGAAAAATTGGAAATCGACAAATTGACGAAACGAAACATAAAGAAATTCAAAAGTGAAAAGTGGAAAAATACGAATCGATGAATAGAAGAAACATAAAATTGAATGATAGAAATATTGTAAAATCAAATAATTTAAGAAACGAAAAATTGAAAATCTAAAATTGAAGAAACGATAAATAAAAAAAATCGGAAGTGACGAGTTGAAAATTTGTAAATCGATAAGTAGAAACTTAAAGTTGAAAAACTGAAAAATTAAAAATTGAGAAATTGTAAATATGAAAAATCGATAAATTGAAGAAACGAAAGAGGGAAACATTCAAATGTTGAAAAACGAAAACATGAATTAACGAAAAATGGAAAAATGTAGAAGTGAAAAACGAAAGAAATAGAAAATGAGACATTCAAAAGTTGAAAAATCGATAGATTGCAAATTGATAAATTGAAGAAATGAAAAATTGAATAGAAAAATTGTAAAATCAAAAAATTGAAGAAACGAAAAATGAAAATAATTTACAAGTGAAAACTGGAAAAATGGTAATCGACACATTGAAGA